TACAAAAAGAAATTTACATATCATATTGGTTCATATACAGTTCTCAAAGTTACATTCATAGATCTCCACAGAATATAACAATCATGTTACTATTCACATTAAATATATTATTCTTATTTGTTTGTTTAAACACATAAATAATGGTACAAGGGTGCACCAGATACATATGCGCCACACAAAACAATCAGAATGGGAACAGAAAAAGCGTAAGATGGATATAAAAATAATAAGAGTAATGATGGGGGGAACTGAAATGTACAACCAGAAGAACTCTCAGTTAAGAAAGTTATAATCACTCTTTATGAAGAAAGTAAAAAGAGGTTACAGCACGATCGCCACTGGCTTATATTCTGAGCCATATCTGACAACGTCTCTAGCCACTGTGTTGCACCATCTCTCGGACCCCAGCCAGGGAGTCGTGAAGGACCAACAGAAGCTAGCCCTTTGCAGCTTTCTTTCATACCACGACAGCATGTCATACACTGACCACCTCTCTGCTTTTTCCAACCAGTCCTAGAGTCGACAAATAATGCACGACGTGGAAGTCTCTGAAACGACATTCGTAGAACATGTTCAAACCACCGAAGTCTAAGTTTCAAGATAGTGACACCAATTGAATTATCGTCTCTGCGCCCGAACACACGATGCCGAACCTCTGCATTACTAACATGGTGTTGCCACTAAATGTCAGCAATCCTTCCCAGACAACGATGATCGAACACAGAGAGTCGTCTAACATCCTCAACTCGGATAGGCCAGGTTTCACAAGCATAGAGCAAAACTGCTCTCACTGACACGTTGTAGATCCGACCTTTTACAACCAGACTAACATCACGAAGGCGCCAAAGGTGGCCCATGTCGGCATAAGCCGCTCTGGCATCCATTATACGTGCATCGATCTCATCACTCACTCACACCACCACCACCAGCACTTATATAGCTACCTAGATACACGAACTTCTCAACTACTTCAATCTGCTCACCATCCAGGGTGAGTACAGGATTAGAATCCTGCCAGTCTTGTAGGAGTACTTTGCACTTCGAAGGTGCAAAGCAAATTCCGCATTGCCATTTGACTAGGTGCGGATTGCAGAGTTTCCACCATGGGCAAGCTTCTGCATAATTTGAAAGGGAAGGATACACAAATAAGAAAAATAGGGATTAATAAGCGACTTAGAAAATATTATTCATGTAAGTCGTCGGACGTTTAATACGAGTTTGAATAGTATTGTCATTAGAAATTGTCATTTCATTTATTAGTGACAGTGATGTTGCCCGGGTGACCAGATCGAAGCTGGTGGCTTTCTCAGGGGACCACACCCCGAGTCTTTGACCTAAAGACCTGATCCACAAGGCAGTGGGGCATCGTGAGGAGATGCAGTCCCATGGTAGCCGGTGACCAACGATTAGTTCATACGCCATTTGTTCCTTCAGGATACTGGAGCCTATGTGCACCATTGGTTTGGAATCAGGGTTTCCCGACTCCTCGAGGTGGACGTTCCGTGTCCACCAAACCGGTTAAAGCGCCGGACATTCGCTCCTCGTTCTCTCAATTACGTAAACATCAGTAATGCCACGAGAAGGCAGTGAGTAGGACTTCCCTAGCAGAGGCTATATACGCGTGGCCATGTGAGAGGATTTCGAAAAGGACCGTGACCCTTCCCCACTCTCGGCCGTGCCGGAGCATTAAGAGGAAAAATATATTATTCTATCCCCAGATTAAATGCGTTCTTCAGAAGTACCATGTATCATATTGTTAACTGTTACGATACGATAAGTCGGTTAGGACAGTGACTCTAGAGATATCCCTAATGAATGTGACAAATATGTACCGGATGAGTCGAATCCTAGTCATATTTGTGATGTTGTTGTATCATATGTTGAATATTCGCACGAACAATGTACGTTGAGGAGAATTTCTAATCAGTGGTATGATGAATCAGAGGGCATTGAAAGTTTTTACGAAGCAATCAGAGAACCTATTTGCACAATCAGATAATCCAAATCAAGTCCAAGATTATCCTGATGAGTATGAGTCAGATGCATGTTTTCCATTTGATTGTCTTTCAGACGAATCAAGCCTAGATGAATTACTTGTGTTATTTACACATACCAATGCATATCTATCTGTGTATTCCAATATGAATAACAAAAAGAATACTATCACAATTTTTATGCACGTCAAAGTCACATGATGGAATACCTCAAATTATATATCAGTGTGTATCCACAAATACTCACATACAGCATTTGAAGCGTGAGATTTGAGGAGAAAATGCAAATTGGGAGTGTTAAATTTGTCATAGCACTGCGATGTAAGGACCCTACATTATTTCTTGTGAGAGGATAGTGCTGGAAAGTCTATCATGCAAATTCTAGATACCAGTGGTTTCGCTACACAAACGACACGATGATGGTATTCAATTCCAGGACCAAGGTGAGTCTGTTCTGATTTCGGTTGTTAATTCTAGTACTAAAAAGTACATTCCTGATAATACAGAGTCTTTATCCAATACACAGTCAGACAGACACAGGACGAACTGAAGAAGAAAACATACGACCGATTACACACACTTGAACTCCAATTCAAGCTGTGGCGGATGTGGTGCTTATTTGAACCAATGATTCCCTTGTACTTGATGACTGCTTGATTTCGAATTCCAAATACAATGCATTCGTTTGTGTTCATCTAATATTTCTTGATTAAATTGCTTTATTTCTGGAATTCCTAGTTTATACTATAATTCAAATACTCCTAATTATCACATGTGGTTATTTGTAACAATGCGAACTCAACCAAGTGAAATTCACCATTTGTACATTCAAAAATAGGTCGTAGCAATATATTAGGCAAAAGTGAGCCTGTAAAACATTTTAATTGATTTGCCTCCCTAATTAGGTAGATCGAAGCAATTAGGCGTTAGTCTATCTATGAATACTACATATACTACTAATATACAAACATAAACAGTTCTATTCATTACAAATATAATCATTTTCGACTGGACTGATATATTATTATATAAGGTATCTGAGAAAGAAAAATCTTATGAGTAACAATTGACGTTGTTAGTATCTTCTGCCCCTTTCTGAAAATATACAGGAATAGTATAAAACATTACTGTGAGTGCCGCATAAATTGGTCAAATATTCTTCATAATTAAAACGATGCGTGTTTGTTTTGAGCATGGTAACTAAAACATGTCGTGGTTAGTACTAATTTATGATGTGTCTGTTGTGGGGTTAACTAATGAATCTCTGTAAACAGAATCCATAATCACTGACTAAATCATAAACGAATTTCTAATGCATGTTGACAAGCAATTTCTAAATAGTGCTTACCAATGATGTCACTACTGTATTTAAACATTGAATCGCTGGTAGTATTATGAATGTTGTAATTGAATTTTTCTCAGATTTCGTATTACTAATTAAAGTTTTTGAATCCGTTTATTTACTGCCTGTTTGTTAACGCCAAGTAACTAGATAAATTCTAGAAGGGTTAGAAAATGAAGAGCACTGTTTACAACATGTAAGACACTTGTAGGTACGTCCTGTCAGCTGCTATTTCATTTGCTTATTCAATTTGATGCTGATAAAAAAATTTAATTGTTTGTTTCTCGATTGATTTGTTGTTTGCCAGCATTGCATCAGGCTGGAAGGGTCCTCATACGTTTTATAATATGCGACTTGTGGCTTCTGTCAACTAATTGAAAGGCTCAAACCTGTCTAATAATCAAGTCCATGCTGGTGAAGAACTTGTCGAATTTCTGCATATGGAAGATTATGCGGAGAAACAATTCACAGATTGACGATAACTGTGTGTTATATCGACTACTGTCACGTTTATCCATCTAGTGGTTTATTTAAATATAAATATTACCAATATACTCAATCTTTGACACTATAAATCTTGTTAATATGTAGAACAATAGTCCACTTCGGTATGAATACTACTCTGAAAATAGGCCTAATTCCCAAACGGTTTGTCGTGATGTGACTACCTAATTCGTAAGATCTTACGTAGAAGTCACTTAAGTGTCTACACTGACTCATCGTATCGTAACAGTAAACAACATTACTCTTAGTACTTCTGAAGAACACATTCGAGCTGGGGATAGAATAATATATTTAAGGTGAATAGTAATAGGTTACACGTAATGACCACGTATGGAAAGCTGAGTCATGCCACGTCCACCATTGCCGACATTCTCCAAGTGTTACATGTTGAATTTACATCTTTTCAGCCATTATATACTGTGCTTTGAAGATCGTGTGGTTAGGAAACCATGTCAGCCCGACCAAAATTGCCATCAGAAATAACGAATATCTATGAAGTCGAATTGATCAAAAAGCAGTTTACTTTCGGCATGAATGTAATGAACATGAGTGATCTGAGAAGGGAAAAAATTATTCTACTCTACGTTTTGGAATTTCTTCAGCACACTATCGAATCCAGTTCAGCTTCTGAAATGCCTATTCAGTATTATACGTTGAAACGCCTAGCTTACGTCGACTAAAAATATCTCTTGAACATGAAGCACTACAACACAGCACTGAGTGTTTATTAAAAATCAGCTAGTTATTGCAACAATACTTTACTATCTGGAGAAAGTAGTACTAAAATTTGAAACTTGCCGTTTATTTGATATTTCGTCTTAATCCATGAGTAAAACAGCGACCCATATAAAGTTCGCGTATCTGGAAATATTACGTTATTCTTACTTTTTATTTTGAACAAAGGAGGTGAGGTTCAGTAGAGAAATTGGTATTCCAGATCAAGTTACGAGACAACAATCGAGTGAACGTGTGCACCACAAAGCCGAGAGAGCTAAATTAATGTTCTTCGCAATCATTTTGTGGTTCTGCTGCAGCAAAATACCACTTCAATATGGGAACACTTAATATCCGTGCAACCCAACGGACAGCCAACAAGCACTCAGAAATTGAACTATGTGATGGCCGCCTTACTTCAGGCCGCTCAAGGTCTTTCGAACGATACGGTGGGTGACTTTGAGCGAACCTGACTTTTTTTTGCCATCCCGTCTTTCGTACATTTGACGGCTGAATTTTCGAATAGTTTATAATAATTATTGGCCATTTATGCTTTCCCTTGATTAATTTCGGACGTTTAGTATTATGTAGCTGAATGGTGAGTACTTTTAATATAAATATCTTCAGGCATTCTTCAATTGTTCTAATGGGTAAATTGGCTTAAACAAGTAAATCCTGTGAAGTTGTACTACACTGCTGTGATAATGATGAACTTGCCGGCCGTCATAAAGGTGCAGAACGCAGTCTTATTCTTAATTCCTCACACTTGTTTATTTCTTTTGACCCTAACAAGTAGTTGAATTTTAAAAAAAAATCACTAGTACCATCTAAAAATCGCCCATAAACTATAGCCACACTATTACTAACGATTCGTTTAGAGTTCAATCACGATCTCAGCTTATGGGGTTTTCAGTAATCTTCAAGATGTGTTGTAGATCGGCTCACTTTTTAAGACCTATATATCATTTGCAGTTTCACGTACATTTGGTACATTATTTTAAGTATGTTTTGTGAGCTCCGAAATCCGTGGCTAATTTCTCACAAGGCTAGGAAACTGACAGCATTCACATCAGTGCTCTATATATTCCTAAAATTATTGCTTACTGTAACTCCTAAGTTCAGGTCAGTAACCATAGGCAAGTTTTTTCCATTTGATATGTTCCTGTGTAGGTTACCAGAGGGTCGTGTTTCCACTTCCACACTTGTACTAAACTGACTTCAGATGACCATCAGTCTATCTATTCCACTAGAGCATTCAAATCTCCGTGTAACTGTGCATTATTATTATTATTATAATTAAGTTCACATTTGTGTAGTAAGGACAAAAGATCTACGGCCCTTGTTATTCATTTTCTAGTGTGCTTTTGTGTGTTTAGTCTTCTATTGAATGATTCAATTAAAGGTGAAGACATCACTGCTTCGGGTAACAGGTCCCAAGAATTGACGACTTATGTGAAAACCTGTGTGCCACGGGTATCTTGTTTGTTTTTGGCTTTTGTACACACCTGCTATATCCTCTAAGATGTACCGATCTAATGAGAAGAAAAGGGATATACTGGGTTCGAAATCGTTTCTTAGTATTCGATACATCAAAATCAGTTCACCGCTTAATATGCGATAGGTCAGAGTAAAGAGGTCTAGTTTTTCAAGTCGCTCTTATTATGGTAAACCCTGGAGTTACGGAGTTGCCTGGGTGGTTGCCCCCTACTTTTTCAAGGATATCTGAGTCACCATTTAAACAGGGGCTTGCAGCCTAAACGCAGTTTTCAAGCTTAGTTCTAACTAAGGTTATGCATACTGTAATGAACATGGTAGTATCTAACTTGGTGAATGCCCCTCTTAAAGCCCTTAGGGTTTTGAACCCCTTAGCTACAACCTCCCGTCGATGGACTGTGGTCTTGAAACCATGACTCACTGTCACCCCAATATCCTTTTAAGACTGGATCACGAATACAGGCACTTCCCATATTCTGTACCTATTTATTTTGCTTCCCCAAAATGCATGTAGACACTGCCGCATTGATGAATCGACAACTTCATCTCTGTGCTAATGTGGTATGGCAACTCGAACTGATGTACGTACGTACGAAGTTCTACGTTGTAACTGACTACCGCATTGATTGGCACCGGCCACTCTTTAGTCCAGCTAATCACGATATTTAAGTTTGCTTGAAGTGCGCATGCATCTGCCTCCCGTTATTTCTCGCCAGATTTTTACATTATCAGCGTATAATAAAATCGGGACTTAATTATACTTGGGAGATCATTTACATACAGTATAAAAAGTCAGTCAGTCACAACGTAGAACTTCGTACGTACGTACATCAGTTCGAGTTGCCATACCACATTAGCACAGAGATGAAGTTGTCGATTTAAATCCCATAGTGGTAGAAGTAGTAAGAGTATAAGCAGTAATGTGAAAGATTAGGGTTTGAAGATGTTCAAAAAGTGTAATACAGTGAAATAAATTTGGAAGGAGAAAAAGGATAGGGACATGAAGAATTCAGAAGATTAGGGTTTGGCAGAACACAAAGAGTGAATGCACCTTCGCCACTGCAAACGATTTTGAGCCATGTCATTCAAGGTCTCTAACCGCCGGTTGTTGTCATCTCGCGAATCCCAACCAGGTAGTCTACACCTACCAGCATGGCTCAGTCCACTTGTCAGTTACTTCATGGATTTGTGCCACGTTTTGGTCTGGCCGCCCCTAGCTTTCTTCCAACCTACTCCTACACCATGAAACACTGCACGTCGGGGCAGTCGGTGGTTGGGCATACGTAACACATGTCCCAGCCATCTCAACTGATGAAGTTTCACTACCCCATCAATCGATTTGCCATCCGGGTTTTCTATATCCACCATTTTATTTTGTAGGCTGCGAGCATTTGTGTAGCACACCTTTAATTTTGTAGAGAACTTCCCCTTACCACTAAGAGTGGTTTAGGGATCTTTTTGCTCCGAACTTATACAATCTGAAAACCCTTAAGTACGAGGATTTTTCCACCGTTTCGGTGGCGCTCATTTATTTATACTTCTGCCGATCATCTCTTGAAACGGTTAACCAGGCTGAGGTCCTGACGGACATATATTCCGGATCCAATCGGTTTGCGTGGGTCTCCCAGTATCAGGTTTCTTTCTTCAGCCGAAGAAAAGGTAACCTTTGAGAGGCGGCTTTTCTGAGTACTTTCAGAACCCACCTTTTGTTCAATTCTATAAAACTTACAAATGCTAACTACTGAAATTATTTCTGGGAGTAGCTTGCTTAATTAAGGACTTAATGTGACTGAGATCGTGCTCAAATCTAGCATTTGGTTCCTTTTCGAAAGGTTTTCTTAACTTATGAAAAATGACTGACCTATCACCGAGGTCCGTCTTGACACGCCGGGGAATTTTGCTTCTTGAAATCTCTGCAATCCGATATCGCGTCAGCTGCAGAGGTCTCATCCGGTTTCTTACTTTTTCTGGGTATGACTATCAGGCACTTATTTTACCTTATTTTGTCTCTTGATCACATCATCTACACCGCTCAGACTTTGCTCCTCATAGACCGCTTTGCGTCGATATGTGAATCCGAAATGAAACCGTTGATTCACATACCTTAGTGCCGCCTATAATTTGTTTCTTCTCAACGTGTTTTTTTCTTTTTCCTAGTAACAATGCCTACATCTGTATGCTTTTTATCCGCTTTTCTAATGGGGTTCACCTTGATGGTCTCATTAAAATCCAAAGCTGGGCTCATGATAGCGCTCGCTATTTCCTCGGAAACTGAATTTCGCTCATCTACTGCTGCCTGTTAACTGAGGGCAATTTTGTTAGCTATGTTCATCAGTTCAATCGCCTCGAGAATCAGCAGAAACTTTGTAGAACAGCATGCTTTGGATAGCCAACGTGATAGTGGCTTGTAGCATCTTTCATATGCAGCCAGTGTGAGTCCGGTGCACACATTGCGATACCACTTATTGCAGTTGTCACATTGCATTCCGTCATCAACAGGGAAATAATATTCATGTCTGTCACAACGATGTTTATCTTGCGCCATAAATTTGTTTCGCGATCTCACAGGAAGAACAACAGCGAAAACTGATCTCTAGAAAAATTAACTTTTAAGGCTTGATAGGTGATGGACACTGGAAACAAGCAAAAATGGAGGTTTGTGTAATACTGTACCTAACAACGATAAAAAAACCCAACTTCAATGGTTACAAAAAGACCTTAACACTTTTAGATTTGACTTATTTATTTAAACATATTGGTTCAAAAGGGCACCAGATACATATACGCCACAAAATAATGAGGATGGGAGGAAAAAGGGGGAAAATGCGTATACATAAGGAAGAAAAAAGGATGAAAAAAGAAAAAAGGATGAAAAAAGAAAAAAAAGAGAAAAGTAATGATGGGGGGAACTGAAATGTACAACCAGAAGAACTCTCAGTTAAGAAAGTTATAATCACTCTTTATGAAGAAAGTAAAAAGAGGTTACAGCACGATCGCCACTGGCTTATATTCTGAGCCATATCTGACAACGTCTCTAGCCACTGTGTTGCACCATCTCTCGGACCCCAGCCAGGGAGTCGTGAAGGACCAACAGAAGCTAGCCCTTTGCAGCTTTCTTTCATACCACGACAGCATGTCATACACTGACCACCTCTCTGCTTTTTCCAACCAGTCCTAGAGTCGACAAATAATGCACGACGTGGAAGTCTCTGAAACGACATTCGTAGAACATGTTCAAACCACCGAAGTCTAAGTTTCAAGATAGTGACACCAATTGAATTATCGTCTCTGCGCCCGAACACACGATGCCGAACCTCTGCATTACTAACATGGTGTTGCCACTAAATGTCAGCAATCCTTCCCAGACAACGATGATCGAACACAGAGAGTCGTCTAACATCCTCAACTCGGATAGGCCAGGTTTCACAAGCATAGAGCAAAACTGCTCTCACTGACACGTTGTAGATCCGACCTTTTACAACCAGACTAACATCACGAAGGCGCCAAAGGTGGCCCATGTCGGCATAAGCCGCTCTGGCATCCATTATACGTGCATCGATCTCATCACTCACTCACACCACCACCACCAGCACTTATATAGCTACCTAGATACACGAACTTCTCAACTACTTCAATCTGCTCACCATCCAGGGTGAGTACAGGATTAGAATCCTGCCAGTCTTGTAGGAGTACTTTGCACTTCGAAGGTGCAAAGCACATATCGTACCTGCAAACACTGATTGCCAACTGATTAAGTGTAGATTACATGACTTGGGCATTATCGCACAGTTAGACAATATCATCCGCATACCCAGGGTCGAGAAGTCGTTCTCCAGGCAACATATCCACACCGCCATTACTTACATCCATCAGAGCTGTTTCCAGAATGTCATCGATGGCAAAGTTGAAGAGGAATGGTGAGATTGGGCAACTCTGCCTAACCCCACTACTTGAATGAAACAATGGAGAGAGGTGGTTGTATGCTCTCTCTCTCTGCCTGAGGTGTTTGTATACAGGGCCTTTAAGATGTTAATAAACTTCTCAGACATACTCTTCTTCAATAGACAATCCCAGAGAACAGTCCTGTCCGAGACGAAGGCAGCCCTGATATCAAGAAACACTACTATTGTTGGCCTGTGATAAGTATGACGGTGTTCTAATATTTGGCGGCGGGTGAAGATATGATCAATGCATCCTCGACCAGAACGAAAACCAGCCTGCTCCTCGCGAGTCAATCGTTCTCAGGTTTTAAACAACCTACGAAGAATGACAGAAGCCAATAGTTTGGACGCAATCGGAAGAAGACTTATCCCCCGATAGTTGTTACAAGAACAACGTGAACCCTTTTTAGAGATGGGGACAACTATCGACTCACTCCATGATGTTGGAACAATTTCTAGCTCCCAAACCTTTGCAAACAACACAGTCAATTCCTTAGTCAGAAAATCACCACCATCTTTAAAAATAGCCGGAGGTAAGTCATCTGGGCCAGGTGATTTGTAGCGTTTCAAGAGTTAGAGTTCCTTGCGGACTTCCGCCTCGTTTGGTGGATCAGTCGTCACCGGTCATGGGGAGCAGGACAAACTGATCGACGTTGCCGGAGCAGCAGGCCAGTTGAACTGCCCTTCAAAGAATTCTGCCGATCGTCCAAGACGTCGACAGATGTTAGTGATTGGCATCCCATCATCCTCACACCAGACATTTTGCTGCCAGTGGCTCTGATGAGTTGGAAGAGCTTCCGGCAGTTACCAGGTACAGCTGCTGCTTCCAGCTCAATAGCACGATCCGACCACCAGGTTTCCCGGTCCTCACGCAAGCTTTGCCCGATTTCATTGCGTAACAGCCTTCGTTTGTGCTCAAACTCACGGCCATCCGGAGTAGACCGACGGGCTTCCATCAGTTGTAAGGAGCCAGAAGAAACCCAGTGCTTATAAGCGGGACGTTTCGCAAAGCTGAAAGCAACTTTACTCGTCATTTTCATGGCGTCATGAAGTTGCACGTGAAACATGCTTTTTGAGGCGACAGATGGAGAGCGAATTTGTAGTACTTCACTAGAGTCTTGAATACGGGTCTCGGATAGACAACAAACATCAACATTAAGACTTTCTAAAGACAAAGCCAGCCCCATCTGTTGTCTGATCTGCATTAGTGTGCGAACGTTGAAGGAAGTCAGCTTGAACGGCGTACGTGGTTTCAGAAAGGCTGGTTCAGTATTCGTAGTCGGTGGAAGCATTCACTTTCGACCAGACAGCGACTAGAGATCGTTTAGATAGAACAGAGTTTCCACCATGGGCGAGCTGCTGCATAAGTTGAAAAGTAAGGGTACACAAATTGGGAATAAAAGGGAGTGAATAAGCGATATGGTAAATAATAATAATAATAATGCAAATTGTCTAGCACATAGTTCGTTCTTTATCAGCGAGGTTGTTAAACGCACAGTTTATTTGATTTCAGCCAAATCACGTACAATTTCCTACGTATTCCGGATATTTTGTCGAGGTAAAACTTGATTAACATATAGGAGATTCAAACTTCAGTGCACAACACACCTCAGGGAACAGTTATATTTGTTCAAATCAAGTCAAATGTGTAGATATTTTTCATTATTCGGGAATACGTCTGTGTAAAAGCACACGATAAAACCGACCTTGGACGTCATGTCAGTTAGAAGTGTTTAGTTATAATACAGTTTAATACAAATAAGCAGTAAAATTACCTCCGGCAAACAGTTTTGACGTAAATAAAGGACCTTTCATGTAGTAGATAAAAAACGGTCAGAGTTAGAAACTAGTGTTAAGAGTACGGCTTGACTAGCAGAAAGATTTATATAAGTAATTATTATCTATGCAGAAATTTATTTGAATTTGACTATCAGAAACTTGGGCTAACATACACTTGTCCCAAGCTCTACGATGCTTATAACATACTTTTTTTTTAGATCAAGCAAATTTCTTGAATTGTGGTATCTTCTAAACTAAAAATTTAATTCTCCACTGTCTTCAGTGTTACCGTTTGTTGAAACTACAGGCTTATACATAAATCAAATGTATTTTTGAATTAGATTTAATCGGAATAAGTGATCACTATTCACCCTAATTAACATTTAATCTCGCGAAAGCCACATGCATATTTTTTGAGTTCTGTTAAGTATCCTGGCCTTATCACCATTTCCTAACTTGGCACATTACAAAGTTATTTTGACACCTATATTTTAAAGTAATATTGAGTTTAGTATTCTGTTAGTTATGTATAATTTGAGCACTAAAAAAATGTATTAATTTGTCTTTTGTAATCTACTATTTATTTATTTCACTTCACAGCCAAGTACAAAGAATTTATTTCGTCTTGTTGGCTTCGGAAGTTTCATATAAATCACTGGTACTTTGTAATTTCAGCATCGAAAACATAAGATAATCCTTATATTATCTAAATCATACTCCATGCTTCCATCTTTAACAAAGTTGTATCATGTTACATCAGAATGGTCAGATTCTGAATTAAGTTTATTACTAAGTGCGTTAAAAAGGTTAGTCTTAATTTCTATTTAAATTGCAATTCTATTAGAGATCGTTCATTTTCAACACGTGAATTAGCTGAATTCATACAGACAAAAAACAAAACAGAGGTAAGTTTTCGTTCTTTGGATACGCTTTTTTAGTAATATCGGTTTTTGTAATACCCCTGGAAACTACTAAATAAATTTTTTTCTGGAATTCTTCAACTATTTTAGTCGGATTTTTTAGATTGAACGTTTACTGTAATCCACTGATCGCTGAATAAAATCCATTTTCTGAACTAATAACGTTCAGATTAACTATAATTGATGTCCAGTATATTTCAACCTGTTGGTAGGAAATCCTTATGATGATTTTCAAACCTATCATTATTGCATATATGGAATAAAAAATCCCTGTTTAAAAGTGAGGTTCATAATTTGTACTACAATTAACAATGTACTTACAGGTTACATTTCTACCGATATTTGAGTTTTAGAGGAAGCCTAGATTTCGCTGAGATAACAGTTACTCATAACCACCGATAAGCAGAAATATTAACCTAATACTAGCTGCTGATCGTTTTTCAGCATTTAGTTTCTTGTTGTACTGAAAGCCTGGGTCTAATTAAAAATCCTTTGACTTGTACAATAAGTTGAGAACCCAGTTCTTCAATGAATTTAAACAAATCAAGCACAGTAAGATTTACAGTATAAAGGGAATTCATTATATTCTGAGTCTTCTTATCAACTGATAGTGGCATAGTTACAATTAATAACGATATTATAAACAGTTTTACTTAACATTATTATTAGTCAATGAAGTTGAGTTCGAAACGGCAAAAAACATAAGGAACAAGAAACATTGAGAACCGGTGAATAGGAGTATATTTACAATTAACTGGAAAAGAATTTACAAACTTCCGTTAAAGTTTACGTGAGGAATGTTTTGGTTGTTAATAACGTCATTCTACTAGGTTATTATTTTATGCAGTCCTAAAAGCTATTTTTTTAATATAACTAAGCGACCTTTATTTGATTCACTAGAGTTCTGATCAACTTTTAGATAAGAGAACTTATGGCTTGTCTTATGGATGTGGATGAAAAGAATTTACAGGGTAAGAAATAATTTGTATTAACCAGTGCTTTCAAACGTAATAATTTTTCTTGTTTTAGATCCACAAATTACTGTGCCGGAAGTTAAACCTGAAGGATCAATTGATGTAGAATTTCTATCATTACTTAATACCAGATTTTTTCTTTACACAGATTTTATTACAAATAACTAGACACAGCTGTACTGAATACTATAATTATAGTATGGCATTAATTGAAGTATGTCGTTTACATAGCAATGCATATCCTCATGCTTTTATCTAATTATTACCGTAATAAGTAGGTAGCTTAATGGTTCCAGAAACTGAGTAGTATAATTACCTTAACTCACCACAAAATATGGTCGAAAATTGAGTACATAATCCTGTACTTGGTAAATAATTTAAAAATTGATATGATTGAAAGAATAACATAAGACAATTCACTAAAACTTTTACTTATACCTTCGTTTGTATCTTCGCCTGGACTGAGCTTTGACTTTCATAATTAACGCTCCCAATACCAAGCTGAGTCATATTCCTATTAGTAAGGCCCCATGATCACTTTCTGTTCAATCTGTATTTTAAAAAAGTAATTGACATTTATGACCAAAAATTTTGTATCTCAAATATTCCAATAAGTAGAACTAGGACATAGCATTAAAATCCGTTGGACTATAGATCTTTTTACAATGTTCACCTGCAAAGAGTATGTTGGATGACCATTTCTTGCAACTAAAGACTCTCTACTCAAACCTAAAACATCATGTAAAGGCCACCAATGTTATTTATCATTTATTGTTGAGTCATTTACCGGATACGAATTTGTGTACTTGGTTTTGAGGCACACTCTAAGTGTAAGTACAAATGCTGCTACTCGGTTGCCCAAATCGGAGTACGTGGAGAGGCAAGGATGATCCCAACCTGCGACTTATATGTATATAAACTCAGTTAGTAAATTCCACTGAAATGTACTGTATAGCCAGTTGTAGGGGTATTTTTCTTGCAAACAACTATGAATTGTAAGTGTAAGACATTAAAGTCACCGTAAGAAATCATTAGTCATAATGTATTCACAACCAGTATTGTGAAATCCTCTTGTAACATATTTCAGGTTCTCCAACGAGCTTCTACGTGGGAAAGTGTAGAGTGTCGTAAAATCAATAAAAGAGATCCAGATCCTATATATTTACCTTATGCACAGGTTTATCGATTTTTTTCTTCGTTGGTTTGTGGGAAACCATTACCAAATCTATCCGACTTGTCGTCTGGCGCCTTTCTAGATCTTTTAACATGGTATGTTGCATCAATGTGTTGAATATTTTGTGTAATTATTTTCTTTCAAAAGAATTATTTCACTTGTCAGCTTGCCCATTGATCTTATTTAGACCACCATTGAAAATCTGGAAGTACCAGTCGACCCCTTTGGTCCTAGTCTAGTACTCCTTACCGGTAACCATCCACAACCCCGCATCTGAGACTCCGACCCAGGTTTTTCATTCGAGCGCAGACACTTAACCTCCATGCCACTGAACTGGCATCCAATAGTGTTAATGTCTGACTTTAATCAATCCATGATATTCCAGAACCCTCATCCAATTGCTTAAGTTTTATGGTTATCGAGAATAAAGTTTTAGTAAAATAGTGAGTACAGTTTCTTGTCGACTGCCTACAGCCATTTAGTTTTGATCCTATCGGGTCCTTCAGAGTTAGCCAGCTATAATCGTCGTCGTGCCTGGGACAAATACGTATTAGTCCAAGTTGCCATACCAAACTAGCACGACAAGATGAATAGCAAGGGAATCTAAATAATGGGGTAATAATCATAATCAGAAAGATTTAACATTATGAATAATAGTCACCATGTGTTTACTAGTAACTGGCTTCAAGAGGTATTTCCTGGAGTTCTTATGAGAAGCCGTGACCAATGGAGTTCATCCAGGTCTTTTGTGAGATAGTAACTCACTGAAGACAATGGTGGACGGTGGTTCAATTTCGTGGATTGGTTGAAGCCAGACATTAACATAGTTGGATGCCTGCTCAATGGTCTAGTGGTTAGGTGATCGTGCGCGAGAGTGATAGGTTCTGGATTCGAATCTCGCAAGGCGGAATCGTGGGTGCTCACTGCTGAGGAGTCCTATACTAGGACGAAACAGCCGTCTAGTGCTTCCAGGTTTTCCATGATGGTCTAGCTTTAATTAACTCATGAATTCAACCATTAAATTAGGAATGTGGTTTTAAAAGATAGAGTTAAAAGGTTTAAGGTTAAGGATACTATGACTGAATATCTACAGAAAGATGAAGAGTAGTTACACCTACACCATTGTGACTGGTTTCGAGCCTCATTACCATTGACATCGCTCACTACTGATTGGTGTTGTCTTACAGATCCTAGATGGCTAGTCTGTATCTACGAATATGGGTTAAAGTAACAATTCTGTCTGAGTATTCCTTTTAATTCTCCAACTAGGTATTTTCTTCTGTACAAGGTTAATATTTTCAATTATATCCTATTAGAATGTAATGTGTATAAAATACCACTTTTTCTTGAAATGACTATCACTCCTGGATTTTATGTTGCTTACAGAAGAAAACAAATCACTTGAGGTGTATGGAATTATTGTAAGACTATTTCATGTTTAGTTTGTTTCTGTATTAAGAATTTCAAATGATCGAAATTATTCTAATACAAACAGAATTTGTTGCAAACCTGATGGATTAGGTGGCATCTGATGCACATAACACTAACACTTATTCTCAGAGATTGAACTCGAAAAGAAGGAAGCAGTGTGGTAGAAATTCTAACATTTAACGAAGGCGAACTGAAACGAGGCAACTTCTTATATACGCGGTAACAAAAACTGTTATATTCGAACGAAAAATAATGATTGGTAACTGCTAGGATCTTTTTGTGGACTGTTATTTTACATATATATATCCTTATTGCATAACTATTGAGTAACTATATGTTGTAACTTTAATCCCGGCTTATTATTACGTGATTTAAGCGCCAATCGACATACTACTTGTCCAATCTTGTTATTGTGCCAAACCAATGACGTTCGACCGGTATAAGCAGCCTAGTGTCCTTATTAGTCCTTTGCTCACCTAGCCCGTCCAGTTGAGTCTAGAACACCAATGACAGCTTCCGCTATGCGATTCACTTACTTCAAGCATACTTGGCTTATATACCACCAAAACAGACCTCATCACACAATAAAATAAGAAATAACATTACAAGAGATCAAGCCAAAAAGTGTCTGTGAACGTGGGAGACTAATCAATAAACTGAGCATAACTTAAGAACAGTGAATCGAAAAACAATAATCTATGGGTCAAAATGAAACTTATAATGAGAGCAATATATATATATATATATATATATATATATATATATATAGCCACTTTTGGTCGTGATTTTGTACGATTGTTGTTTACTGTTTTATGGTATAATGGGTTCTGATTTTCTTGTATATAAATGAAGTATGCCTGAAATACATGATTTTTATAGCGGAGATCGATATTAGTGTTTTGCACTCAATCGGTTGGGTTAAGCGAGAAGCTACTATCTCGGTGGAGCAATAAGAACTCTGATTGACTCTAGGCCGCTCGTGCTGGTTTATGGGTCATTGGTCTGGTCAACAAGTCGGTGTTCTAATTGGCGATAAGTCACGTGATATATTCGCAAGACATAAGGAAATAACAAAAACGACTCCAGAAAACAGGAAATTAGCATAGGGAACTTGAAAACAGCCAATCAGAGAAGAGTACATAGGTCATGCGAAAATATAATTTAGAAGAAAATGGACTCAAGGATGTCGTTACAGAAAAGAACCCAACACTTGATAAAAAAGTTAAATAACCTGTTATCTTAGCAAAATATAATTTTTAATTTCAGCTCTGAATAATTGTATAACATTTACCGTATTTTATATTGGTATATGACATTGAATATAATTTTTGTATATAAGGATCAGATTTGAGCTGATAGATTGCTGTGGCCTTAACCACGTACAAGTTGCTGATCCAAACTTTTAAGCCAATTCTTTTGGCTATTTAGACAACTGTGAACAATTATTTGTTCATCGCTACACTTGACCAATGCCAGGTGTCATGAAATTGGAATCCAGGGTTTCCTGTCAACCACCGCTAATCACCTGATAATTATACATACGGCTGTACAGGTTAAGCAAATGCATGACCAAAAACAAAATTCTCAATTGAAGCTAGACCACCATGGTTTAGCTTCAATTGACTCACGCTTTCAACTATGAAAAATACTAAATCTCCACAAAACCCCTTCTGAAAATTTTCAATGTTAAAACGTTCTTATTTTGTCGAGTAATGCAGTAAGCCTCTTCACATATATATATAACTAAGAAGGTACTTTTATTGACACATATATGATTCAGTAAGTGTTGCCATCGAGACATTTAAAATGAAAAGTTAAGCGAGGAAATATGTTTTCAATTAATTCCCCATTTCAAGGCTTTGCACTGAAATGTAACTTTTTTAATCAAGTCTAAAATCAATAACAAGCACCAAATGTTGGTCGGTCAATTCGATAGTGTCCTCTCTAAAACAGTAATCGCTTAGAAGCTTAACAGATGTAAAATCAAATTTTAAGATAAGATTATGTAGTCAGTTAATTATTACTTAAGAATAAGAATTAAGTAAGTTCGAGAATTAAGCAATTAAATATAAATGTTATAAGTGTTATTTGTAAAATTACTAATTAAAAAGCGGATGCAAAAAATTTGGTTGATCAAATCATTGAAGTAGTTAAATCACGTAAATGATGTAGTAAATTAAATTTGAATGAAAGGAAACGCAGTAACTAAGTAAACAAAGACCATGTTAAATTAAGAGGTTGAACGAACTTTATCCGTACAAAAAGATTGGGTTTATTTATGTGTATATTTATAACGTCCAAATGCCCTGGTACGGTTGAGGGGGATTCTCTCTTCTCAAAATGGTCATATGACCACGCGTATGTAGCCACTGCCTTCTCACAACAGGTTTGTTGTTTACGAAATTGAGAGGGCGAAAAGCGAATGTCCGGCGCGTAAGTCGGGTTAGTGGGTATAGGGGATCCACTTAAGAGAGTTGGAAAACCCTGATTTCAAATGTGTGATGCATATCGATTCAGTATCCCGAGGGGACAAATGGCGTATGAATTTATCCTTAGTCACCTGCTACCATGGGACCGCATCTCTTAACGTTGCTCTTCTGCCCTTTGGACTAGACCTCTAGATCAAATATTCGAGGAGTGGCTCCTCTAGAAAATCTCCTGCTTCGGTTTGGGCACCTGGACAAATTGATTGATAACTATTTTGTGTGGTGCATATATATTTTGGCGTCTCTTTGTGTCAACGTTTATGTGTTTAAACAGATAATTGAATATAACTTCTGTTGTGTCCGAAAACGAGGTTTTTCACCATTTATTTGTAAAAAGTAAATCGTTTCCTAAATTTTTATAATTCTTTTTCATGCTCTATCATTATTTTTCAAATTAGTTTAGACAGAATTTTAAGCTTTGTCAATAATAGCAAGAAGAGTGAAAATTCTAATCATAATCCTCGTTTATTAGTTGATCAACTTCAAAATGCGAATAAAATCGCTACTGAAAAAATAGGTGTATTTTTAGCATTGGCTGCTGCTATTCAATTGAATTCACGTTTATGCTCACGACGTGGATGTGGTATTACAGAAAAATTTGATGAACACTGTATTGCTCCATTGTTTTTATTATCTAAAGTGAAACATCCTAATACACTGAAACAAACTCGTGAAATGGTTGAATATCTAATTAATCGATTTGTGAAATTATGGTCGTGTAAGAAATTTTTTATATTATCTATATCTGTTTGTTTAAAGTTAATGACAAGTAAATTAGTGCTGGTTGTTTCGAAGCAGATTTTTTGACAGTTAATCGCTTTTTATGAAATATTAATTTTAAATATATGTCGACCAATAGTTGAAACAGTCTAAAAACACTTAGACAACAGCTAATCAGAATATATTAGAGCTCGATTCGAAAATTGGCGATTCCTACTTACATGTAAAGATAAAAATTCTACATATTTGTGGGGTTGCATAAATAGTCTGGTTCATTTTGAAATTCAATTTAAGCACCGAAAATCTTCACTTCAATGGGACTGATTTGTAATCATCATCCTATCGTCCTATCCATCTTTGCTTATAATGCTTGTGAATTAAGGCTATATCGAGGCAATACGCACACTATGCACATATGCCAATAACGGACTGATCAATTGCAGTCCTAACACATCAATGGGAAGATTCAAACAAACAATACGAAGTGAATTTAAACTTCACCCCATTGCACAAGCGCCCACAAGTGCTCTGGTACGGTCGAAGATGGGAAGAGTCCGCTCTCCCTTTCGAAATACTCTCACATGGCCACGTGTATAAAGCCCCTGCCAGAGAAGTCCTACTCACTGCTTTCTCGTGGCATTACTGTTGTTTACGAAATTGAGGGAACGAAAGGCGAATGTCCTGCCCTTTAACCGGATTGGTGGACACGGAAAGTCCACCTAGAGCAGTCGGAAAACCCTGATTCCAAACCAATGGTGCACATGAGCTCCAGCATCCCGAGGGAACAAATGGCGTATGAACGAATTGTTGATCACCGGCTACCATGGGACGATGCTTCACTGCCTTGTGGATCAGGTCTTTAGGTCAAAGACTCGGGGTGTGGCCCCCTAAGAAAACCACCTGTTTCATTTTGGGCACCTGAGCAGTATCACAAACCTCACAAAAATCAAATGAGACTTGTATGGCGCATATATATCTGGTACCACTTTGTTCCAATATTTATGTGTTTAAATAAATAAAAACAATTGCACAAGCAAGTGGCTATCAGGACTCGGTAGCTGAGCGGACAACGCGATGGCGTTTGAAGCGAAAGGTACTGGGTTCGAAACCCAGAATGAACATCAACTCTGAGATGCAAGTACATCCAGCTGACGAGGCCCAAATAGGACGAAACGCGCGTCCTGGATTCCACTGCTAGCCACTATCCATCTTTGCCTATCACAGATGGTTATAATGTTTTCCGACTTAATACTTTGAATGTTGTGCTTCAAGGTATTTTTTGATTGATGAACCAGTGTGATTTGTGATAATGGTATTGGGTTTTCCTGCGGAATTAAAAACTCAACAACATATAGCTTGTATTCTATCAAGAGCTAGGTACAACCTGTCAGTAATTAATCATGAAGATGCTTAAAATTATCAAATATTAGAAGACAAGATAATAAAAATGAACTTGACGGATTTTTAATATGACCATGATAAAGTGTTTAGTTTTTTCATGGAGTATTCGCTCTGTTTTCTCATATTTACGCAAGTCACTGGAGGCCGTCAGGTAAAAGATACTTTCACTATGTCCAGGCAAAATAATGTCCTAGGTTTTGAGAGATATACTTTGTAAATTTCTGTGCAATTAAATTAATTATAACCAACAGTAACTTGTGGAGAGTATAGATTGTTGAACTAAGCTACAGCATTGACTAGTGAATATTTTCTGTGAATTGAATATGTTCAGCTAAACGATTGTTAAAAAAAGTAGTGTATTTACACAGTTAATATTAGGTCGCTTAATCTGATCTAGCCTAGTTTCAACTACGTCAGGCTAGGCACCAAATAATTGTATGCTTAGGTAAATATGTTGAAACACGTGGCTGATCATAGAACAAACTGTTATATCTTGTGGCCGAGTGGATGCCTAGTTAATGTGTGCCAAACAGGGAGCAGCGAATTATCGATTGGAACAGTAACACACAAAAACTGTACATGCAGACTAGAGTGCTAACCGGTCCTGCGATCTGCCTAGCCCAGCCAGTTAAGTCCAAAACACCAATAACAGCCTCAGTGGTATGAATCATTGTATTTCAAACATACTGAGTTTATATACCAAACAGACTGACCATATCGTACCAATAAAATAGAAAATAACATTTGTACAAAAGTTAACCAAATGTGTCTATGAATAGGGGGAGCAGTAACTAATAAACTGGGTATAACTCAGGAATGGTAAATCGTACAATAATAGTCCAAGGGTCAAAATAAAGCTCACAATGAAAGGAACCTGAATATGAATCTTTTAATTATTTAACAAATATACGATAAAAATCATATGCATAATATTGGTCCATAAATGGATCTCAAAGTTACCATTTACTATTGTTATCAGGATACAACACATCCCCAACACGAATACAATACAATTTATTAAATGAATATAAATATTATAAGGAATCTCATACTTTCTATAGGTGTAAAGTTTCAACGTTTTTTAAATTACTACTTCATGAGCATATATATATATATTCTTTAGCCTAATCGACGAACGTTATTGATTCAAGATGGCATCTAAGACTTCATCAAAACTTTCACCTGTCATAATTCATAAATCATGACCATCACAAATGTAGTAGAAAAATATTGTTAATATATTTGTAAAAATTAAAACTTGGAGTTTACTTAATAGTTGAGTGTCACAGTTCAGTTAAATAGAGCGCTAGGTTAGCTACCTGCATGTCACCTGTTTAAATTTTACCATAATTCAGATATTTCTGCACTACTATTATCACTACTTAGATAACAACGCATGTATTTTAGGTTTGTTTTATTTCTTTTGTAGCCAACACTAATTTACTCATAGTTGTATTTATTTTCTACAATAAATTTTGCTTTGTTATATACAGTGCCGAAATTCCCATGTTCACAAAATGGTTCATTTGCTTCTGAAGGAGAATTAAATATTCAGTCGACTGACATACCAGATGCCTTATTCAAACGCCTTAGTATTTTCTCACTGAATCCATTTTCATTCCCAATGGAAGTGATGTCTCCTTTCCAAAAAATCTTAGATGATTTTAGACATATGTGTTCAAGCAGGTTCAATTATTTAAATCGTTTCAAATCAATGTTATACATTTCTTTACCGATCGGACTTCAACATTCTGTCAAACGATCCTCACCATCACAACCAATAAAAGTTGTTAACCAATGGAAAAAGCGTCGAATTGAAAAGTCATCAACTAAGAGTCGACCAACAATACGTCGTCGTAAAGCGTTGGAGAGTTCTGTGTATGTTTCTTTTAAAAAAATTTGGTACATATTAGCCAAATTTATAAGTTTTATGGATAAGACTATCCAAAAACATTGGTTTTTAATTAAAATTATTGAATCGTGCATTTGTTATAGTACACTTGTCAGGTTCACAGTGTTCCATACCATTCATTCCATGATTGACATCAAAATATTTACAACTGGTTTAATTAGGATGGTTATTAGTTTGTTTGTTGATCCATTATGGCATTCATACTTATTAGATCCTACAGTTTGAGTGGTTACTCATTATTGATACACAAATAACCATTCAAATTTCGCAGTGTTATTATCTCAAAAGTTTACAGTTGAATGGTCACTACTCAGCGATCGATAAAGTGTAAATACATCTCAGTTTTACCGGAGGTTGTTGCTGATCCGCACAGCTCAGTGTTGATGTCTCTGACTATGCATGACGTTGGGTAACACAGAATTGAAATTGTCAGAAAACATCATTCCCCTCAAGATCACAAGCGAACCTTGTTGACGAGTGCTGAGTAATACAAAACTTATGAACAAGGGTTTCCTGTCGACCGCCTCCAACCATCACCATATCCTAAAAGTGAATACAATTCTGTTTTCTATGACGACTAGTTTTCATATCCAATTTATTTAAACAAATAAATATGGGTACAAGGGTGCACCAGATACATATGCGCCACACAAAACAATCAGAATGGGAACAGAAAAGGCGTAAGATGGACATAAAAATAATAAGAGTACTGATGGGGGGAACTGAAATGTACAACCAGAAGAACTCTCAGTTAAGAAAGTTATAATCACTCTTTATGAAGAAAGTAAAAAGAGGTTACAGCACGATCGCCACTGGCTTATATTCTGAGCCATATCTGACAACGTCTCTAGCCACTGTGTTGCACCATCTCTCGGACCCCAGCCAGGGAGTCGTGAAGGACCAACAGAAGCTAGCCCTTTGCAGCTTTCTTTCATACCACGACAGCATGTCATACACTGACCACCTCTCTGCTTTTTCCAACCAGTCCTAGAGTCGACAAATAATGCACGACGTGGAAGTCTCTGAAACGACATTCGTAGAACATATTGTAGATCGCGTTGTAGATCCGATCTTTTACAGCCAGACTAACATCACGAAGGCGCCAAAGGTGGCCCATATCGGCATAAGCCGCTCTGGCATCCATTATACGTGCATCGATCTCATCACTCACTCACACCACCACCACCAGCACTTATATAGCTACCTAGATACACGAACTTCTCAACTACTTCAATCTGTTCACCATCCAGGGTGAGTACAGGATTAGAATCCTGCCAGTCTTGTAGGAGTACTTTGCACTTCGAAGGTGCAAAGCACATACCGTACCTGCAAACACTGATTGCCAACTGATTAAGTGCAGATTACATGACTTGGGCATTATCGCACAGTTAGACAATATCATCCGCATACCCAAGGTCGAGAAGTCGTTCTCCAGGCAACATATCCACACCGCCATTACTTACATCCATCAGAGCTGTTTCCAGAATGTCATCGATGGCAAAGTTGAAGAGGAATGGTGAGATTGGGCAACTCTGCCTAACCCCACTGCTTGAATGAAACAATGGAGAGAGGTGGTTGTATGCTCTCTCTCTCTGCCTGAGGTGTTTGTATACAGGGCCTTTAAGATGTTAATAAACTTCTCAGACATACTCTTCTTCAATAGACAATCCCAGAGAACAGTCCTGTCCGAGACGAAGGCAGCCCTGATATCAAGAAACACTACTATTGTTGGCCTGTAATAGGTCAATCTTTCTCTGGTTTTGAATAATATATGAAGTATGATGGATGCCAATAGTTTGGACGCAATCAGAAGTAGACTTATCCCCCGGTAGTTGTTACAAGAACTACGTGAACCCTTTTTAGAGATAGGGACAACTATCGACTCATTTCGTGATGTTGGAACAATTTCTAGCTCCCAGACCTTTGTAAACAACGCAGTCAATTCCCCAGCCAGAAAGTCACCTCCATCTATAAAAAGAGCCGGAGGTAAGTCATCTGAGCCTGGTGATTTGTAGCGTTTCAAGAGTTGGAATTCCACCTACTACTACTACTAGCATTGTCAGTGGTTGGCGAGGGATGTGATACTGCCCAGGTGCCCAAACTGAAGCAGTGTGTCCCGCACTCCGATGCTTGATGTACAGTTCTAATTCGCAAGGCAGTGAGGCAACATTAGGAGATGCAGTCTCATGGTAGCCGGTGATCAACAATTCGTTCATACGCCATTTGTTCCCTCAGGATGCTGGAGCTCATGTGCACCATTGGTTTGGAATCAGGGTTTTCCGACTGCCCTAGGTGGACTTTCCGTGTCCACCAATCCGGTTAAAGGGCCGGACATTCGCTTTTCGTTCCCTCAATTTCGTAAACAACAGTAATGCCACGAGAAAGCAGTGAGTAGGACTTACATTGCAGAGGTCAATTGAAAAATCGCCATTCCTTAAAAGCTGTGGAATATTATGTTTCGTGAGTACTTCTGATTAAGTGTTCGTTTTCTTCTTGTTACTAAGCAGAATCTTTGAAATACAGGGAAGATTTCGAGTATTCAAGCATTTCAGCTGTGTGAAGTGTCATATAATTTAATGTAGGGTTTCTTTTTTGTAATGAATGAGAAATTAGCATTGCATCGATTTCATTTGACATGATTGGTCAATAAGAATCGTATAATATTTCTGTTCCCTACCTGTATTGTTTCGTCTATAGTCTGCGCTCCTAAGTTTCGACCCGATAATACGTTTGACTAGCAAGATCAACCGTGATTTGGAGGTCACGATAACCTTACGCCTTTTTGTCAGTGTCCAGTTTTCACCTGACAACAAAAGTAGGATGATAACACATGATGAATGGAACTAAGTGATAGGTCTGTAATGAATTAACAATACCTTTTGAAAGGTTAAAAAATAACAATGGTTTATGAGCCAAGCAGAATCTGACAACTGGGGGGATACAAAGACACAATAATTCCAGCATTTAGCAACTATACATTAAACAGTTATTTTCAGTAGAACTGTTTTAAAAGTTCGGCTTTGTTTAACATTTATCTTTTTGTGGCACTTCCAACCTACAAATACGTGACTCTTCACTTGTGTTTACGTTTGATTGTTATTATTGTTAGATTTATTAAATATTGTATTTTTGGTACAATATAGAATTATCAACACAAAGTAGTTCAAGAAGTTTCCGTTTCTTACTTCGTCGATGTTGACGTCAAATATTGAGTAATCGCCAGTTAGAAATCCATTGAATCGACATCTGAATAATATACATTCTATTTGCTGCATATTGCTAGCAACCACGACATCTCTGACTAAGCCTTTTGTAGCCTTTACGGCGACAGGTTCAAACTATAGTTTGTTTTTGTAGCACAGTTTTTGGTCCTCTCTCTCGCATAGCGGACTGATTAGAAATTCAAGAGGCGTGCAATAGCTCTTACAGAACAGAACAAACTTACGCTATTATCTAAGCATTTTTTTCCCGATAATTTAAGCACTCGGAATGAAATGACATCGTCTTTATGAAACTCATGCCTGTGTTTGAAATTTTTTGCTTCCTAATCTAGACCTTTGGATAATTTAATAACATTGAGTTTTGATGAAAATACCAATCAAGTGGACAGTAATGCATGTAGTGATGAGAAAACTGATTTGAAAGTCAACCTAACAGTAAGTTGTTTATTGCATGAGTTTCTAGCTAGATTGTCAGTCAGTCGCGACGTAGAACTTGGTACCTATGTACACACCATAAGTACATATAGATGAAATTGTCAGGTCGAATCCCAGAAAACAGTATCAGTGGTAGCAGAAAAATTAAGCCATAAAAACAGTTATGGGGAATTCAGAAATTGAGGGGATAAAAATAATAGATGCACTTGTGCCATTGCAAACGATTTTGGGCCATGTCATTCAAAGTCTCTGATCACTGGTTAATATAATCATCCAGACCGTCTACGCATATTAACACGGCCTAGACCAGTTGTCAGTGACTTCATGGACTGATACCATTTTTTCATTTGACTGCTCCTATTTTTTTCAGCCAACTCCTACGATGACAGTTCGCTTCAGATCGACATAATTTTGATTAAGTTTGTCAAATTCCAAGTAGTATATCGTATTATTTGATCCATCTATCCTATTTTTAATGTTTCCGGTCAGTTATATATAGTGTAGAGCTTAGAACGTATGTGGGTCGGTTCACGTCGCCACACAAGTAGGTGAAATGATCAAGTCAAATGCCAGAGTAGTAATAGTAGTGCTAACAGCACCAGTGGTAGTAGAAAACATTAGGTGTCGCTAACATGAAATTGGAAGAATGATTTAATGGAATATAAATTATGGCATCATTTCGGAACTGAACATTTAAGGTAAGATAATGTGAATACATGTGTTCTATTGTGAGCGATTCTGGATGATTTCCTTTAAGGTCTATAACTATTTGTCACGACGATTGTGCGGACCTGTTATATCTAAAGCGTTACGAATTCACTAGTAGCGAACGGAACAAAGACTTGTGACCAGGGACCGATATGCTAGCTATTCTGACGCGACCCAGCTAACTAAAGTAAGAAGTCCAAGTTGGAAGCGGGGAAGTTATATTCCGTAGCAGCCAGAAGCACAGCAATCAAATAAGGGAAAAAGTCAAGCGTATATATACAGCAACAGGTTGTCCTTGGGCATCACTAATAAATAGCACACACAAAGAAACAATAGACCAATAGCGTTTAAGATAGTTTACAAGTGGGAAATATGACGTGAAGGTAAAAAGAGCGCATTTGGCGCGAAAACAGCTAAATTCAAATTTCCAAAAAATTACAAAATTAAGCCACTTATCAAGTAAGTTCTGGGGATTTGACATCCCCAACAGGACCGCAACCAAATAGTCTCACATCGCTCAAGTGAACAGTTTATGCTTTCATGAGCGGATGTTCTGTCTTGCTATGGGCATACATAGCCTTCCTTCATCCTACTCATATATCAACAAACATTGTTTATCGCGACAGACTGGGGTTGCGCATACTTAACACATGCGAGCTAATTCAACAATGAATATTCACTACCGACTTACCATTTTGTAAGGCCATACAATTAAGTTTCACATTATGATCATAATTCATTTTATTTATGATTATGGATAACACTTGTAAAATGATATATGCTAAACTAGTACCGTTTTATTTTAAACAATCTAGTCACGTCGCTTTGTAAACTGGTGTCCAGGAACACATTTCATTCGTGTTTCAGATCCAGCAGAAGATGAAGCTGTCAAGATTCTTATGAATAAGGTAAAAAAACTCACTCATCATCGTATATATGGTTATTATTAATACCGATTCCTCTGTTTCATGCGTACATACATATTCTAGTCAACAATCTTATTTATTAGCTCACAAAAATAAATGCTGTCTTTGTGAACTACTATCATTTGTTTATTTATCTAGTTTAAGTTTTTGTACTGAACTTCAAGCCAATCTATTTGTGTGCAAATGATGAGTGAGTATAACTTAAATTACTATACGGCTGTTCATACTGAAGTAAAGGATGAATTAGAATACAAACGTAAAATCTACTAGTTGAAAGTTAAGTCCTTCTCAACAACTAAGAAAAACATTGTTCAAAGTTGAAATCATGAGTCAATTGAATCTAGACCACCATGGAAAACCTGGCAGCACTGGACGGCCGTTTTGTCCTACTATGGGACTCCTCAGCAGTGCGCATCCAGGAACACACTCTCGCGGGATTCGAACCCAGGACCTACCAGTTTCGAGCCGAAGCGCTTAATCACTAAACCACTGAGCTGGCATCCAACGGTGTTGATGTCTAACTTCAACTAATCCACGAAGTTGAGCAACCATTCACCAATTGTCTTGACTCATGATTTCAACATTGAAAAATACTGAAATCTCCACAAATCCCCTTCTAAATAAAAACATTGTTGTCAGAATTACTAAGTCCATCGTAAGGGGTTTGTGAAGATTGTTGTTTTACACCAGACTGATTTGCTCAGAGAATCACTGGATAGTCATTTCGCTGGAGTAGTAGGTATGCACAACTCCCAAATCTTCAAGCCACTGAGTTGGCGTCTAATGATATTTATTTCTAACTTTAGACAATTCGCGATTATCATCAAGTAATACAGATAAGCTTTGTTTCACATTCGGCATTGCTGAACTCTTTAGTTCGCGGCTTCATTATAGAACTTTTGGAATAAGTTACTACTAAACACGTATTCATTAATATAAGTGCTAATCCAATAAAGGGGAGTAGAATTGTTTATTTTACGGTCTTTAAATCCACATCATTTCTTTGTGTAGTCGAAATTACCAATATGTATTATTATGTAACAGTTCTTACTCTAGTTGTTCGACACATTAATGAAAGGATATGACTATTTACATACTAGTAGATACAAAATTAGCGAACGTGTATAATTCGAGTTCACAGAAAACAAAATGAGTCATCGAACAAGTACACTTGTCTTAAAAAACAACAACAGGAAAACTAGAATATTGCTCTTCTGTTACAATATCATTTAATAGTAATGTACAAGTGTTATATTATATATACTTTATAATAGTAACAGTGTACACATATAGAGAGAAATATATTTAGTCACAGTGTATGCAGTATTAACCCATTTGTTAACTGTTAAGCACAGTTTATATTATGCATCTATCATTAATTGGCTGTTGCTTTTCCCTTTTTTGTTTATTTTGATAAGCATATTCAAGTGAAAACCAAAAAGCATGAGAAAATTGATACAAGAAAAATGTGAAAACATGTATTTTTATAAATATTGTATAGTCGTGTTTGTTTGTTTTGTTTTTTGAGAAAAAAATATTTTAAATACAGAATAAACCATAGATCGTTGATTAGTGTACTTATTTGTGTGCTCGGATGGGCAGGTGTATATTTTTTATTGTATATGCAAAATAATGCTCTAACAGTGATATTCCTTAAAAATGTTAGTTTGTTAGAAACTGTAAATATCATTAGTGAGTACAAACGAAATGCTGTTCCAGAAGAGAAGTTGTAGGATTATTCCAAAAAATATCAAGTGATAATCTTTACATGTCTAGACAGTGTGAATCAGTAGTGTATATCCAAATTAACTAACTTCTAACTGGATAGTCATGATGATGTTGGAACTAATGATTGACTTGGTGATGATGGTCGAAAATTAAGCAGTTGTTTGCCAACTAAATATCTAAAAATTTATTTTTCAAAAAAATATGAAGATTTTCATACACTCAACTTAAAAAAGATTTTTTTTATTTAGTTGAACGAATAAAAGGCCAAAGCTTGAAAGGAAATGGAATCTATGCACGTTCAAATATTTTATGTGTGTTGTAGGTTAAAACTTCAATCTATTTTGTCATTGGATAAAAATAAAGAGAATTCAGTGAAAAACATTTTTATTTCGTCTTCATCTTTCAATTGAACAATTATGTCGTATTTCTGACCCATAAATTATTTCCATCGTGCTATTGTTCTCTAACATCCTTGATCATATATTTATTAAGCAACTCTAAATATGGAAGCATAACTAAAGGAAATGACTTTGTCGAAAACAAACATTCCTTTCATTGAAATTTCTTACTTTTGAATCTGTTCAGTTGTTAGTATTGACAGTATATTGAAGATAGATGCCTATTCTGTAAGACGTTATGCAATAATCAGTGAGACATTATCTTCGAGACTGGTTAGATCTTTTTTCTTTGCATGTGTACATTTATTCTCGAACACATATAATTATGGTTTACATAATGAGCGAACACGATCTGTCTGATCAACAAGCGAAATGAGCTAATATATGGTAATTATAAAAGAATTTAATTAACAACATATCGCATTGTATATAGACGTTCAATGGTTATAGTCATCTTGGTTGATTTTCATCTATTCAGTTACCAGCTAACCAAAGCTGTAGTTTTCTTATAAATATTATTGACTCGAATTTTCTCAAACTTCTAGTCTATAATTTGACTATCACTTTACTCACTAGAAATGCTTAACTCCTGAAGATGTTTAGAAATAATCAAAAATCTACATTGTAGTCACAAGTGAAGAGAAGAATGTGAAGTTACGATGTATGAGCTCAGCAGTTTGTTTATTTATTGAACCAACAATTTTATTTTTTTTTTCAATAGTCAACTACATAGAATAATAAAAAACTTTACTCCAGACCTACTTTTCATCTTTAATATGCAAATAAAGACGTCGGATTTGATCGATGCATAGAGTCAATAACACTGAGCATATGAACAAGGCGAAAAGAAATGGATATATGTATCGAAATGCAACTTCGCTATCTAATGCTGTAGAGAAATAAACAAGTCAATAAAAAAATATTATTACGGATCAGTGAGTGATATATATATATATATATATATATATATATATATATATATATATTAAGTGACTGAGTTTTTCATGCATTCTTGCTACTTTGAAAATGTAATTTTGGTTTTCGATCGTAAACTAGCTCACATGTTATTAAAATTTTAATATCATTCTTATAAATCATTTTTGGCGTACTACTATTCATTATTAACATGAAGATACTTATTTAGTTGTGTGTAATAACATTTGTTCTAGGTTTTACGTTAACTGATTGAAAGAGTGTAAGCGACTTTGTAAAACGCTGTTTTGATAAGGTAGTTTATGTTATTATAATAATAGAATAGCCAACAACACTTCAAAGTAATCATCCACAGAAGTATTCAATAATGAAGTATTGAACGTATCTTTTTGTTTTGTAAAACCGTCACAAAATAGATTGGATTTTACACTACCTATTGTTTGAACATACACACCAGTAGTACTTATTTCTTAGCTGAGGAAATGTGACATGATGCTAGAAAATGTTTACACAGAGTCCAATTACATAAAATAAAGTTATATTTACAAATAAGGTTAAATTAGCACAAGTGGTAAATTAATGCATTTAAACGACAAAATATCTCGTTAGAAACATCATATCACAGATGGTATGCCATGTGATATCATAACGAAGTTGTTTCAATCTATCTTCACCATACATACGTGTTGATTGAACAAAGATATGTCTATGTTGCATTAGGAATATAAGATGTAGTTTGATAATCGTAAGGCGTTGAAACACGATGGCCTAGCCAATGATACTAAAGAAAAACTAGTCGAAAAAGTAGTATGTATTCTTGGCATCTCGGTTCAAGCTGTATATGTTTTCCTATCAGGAGTAGTACAACCGATAGACAAAAAGATGTGGATTTATTTGTGTCGAAGATTTGTTTTATAACAGCGATTTATTTCACACTCACCTACAATACATAACTCCATAGAAAAAATATAATGTTGCAGAGTATATATATTGAATAAACACTGAGTTTGAGTACGGAAGTGAACATCAACTCTGCGATGCAGGTAGATCCAGTTGACGGGCCTCCAGTAAGACGAGACGCACGTCTTGAATTTTACTGTTAGGTACATTCTATATCTTAAATCTATCTAAATCACAAATTTGAAATACGCACGAAGTCGAAGTTCACAAAACAGAGATTTATTTAAAAGCGGTTTTCAATTGAATAATATACATAAATTATACACAAATCTCAACTTGTGAAGTATCTGTAGCGCCTTACGCGTCTGTAAGTCTGAAATAGAAAAGGCTTTCTGCACTAATAAAGTAAACACTCATTACAACATATGATAGTGCTACTGACTGCTAATAGCTCTATCAAGTATTGATAACAGTTTATCAACAAGCAAAAACGGAACCAAGAGCAAACAATATGAAACTGTTGCGTTTAAACAAGGATGGAACGAATATACAAAGTTGCGAATAGCTGCAACAAGGATTGAGAAAGAGTAATTAAAATAATAAATACAATAAATGTATATGTAAGTATCATGGAACAATACACGATAAACCTGCGCTACAACGTAAGTGTAGATATTGTTAGGAGTACAACTGTTTACTGAATAATAATAATAAGTAGTATAAATAAGTACAAAAGAGTCTGAAAGTGAATAAGGACAGAGCTTAAAATAGACTGAACACCATTTGTTTTATTAAAACTCATATCTTAACGGCTATATCAAGGCGATCCATATAAGAACCACAGTAGCTAATCAGGACATCGAATTTCACGCAAAATATGAACAAGATATCACAAACCACTATGAACTAATTTAAAATGAATTTTTCATAGTTGAGAGCGTGAGTCAACTGAAGCTAGGCCACTATGGAAAACCTGGAAACACTGTACGACCGTTTCGTCCTGTTATGGGACTCCTCAGCAGTGCGCATCCACGAGGAGTCCCATAATAGGACGAAACGGCCGTCCAGGTTTTCCATGGTGGTCTAGCTTCAATTGACTTACGCTTTCAACTATGAAAAATACTAAATCTCCACAAAACCCCTTCTGATAAAATGAATTTGTTTTATTTTTATTGTTCGGACCGAAAAATAGGGAGGGGTTGGACCGAATTATTTACTGGACGATGTACGTTTATTAGAATGTGTATATATTTTTTAAAGAAGACCTTGTTATCCGACGTTTTGTTGTAGAAATACCCATGATAAACTGTTTTTCTTATTCATGTTTCCCTACTGACCTTTACCGCAATTAGATTGTTTTCTTTCGCGTTTGTATTGTTAATTCTATGTGAGGATAACCACCCATTTTCAAAGTGCAATAACTAACTTTTTCTAATAAGTTTTCGCTTATTTAGTTGATAAATACCTCCAACAAGAGCATAATTTCCATTCAGGATTTCATTTTACTTATTTAAAGAGTTATCTGAATGTTTCTTCAACAAACAAGCCAGTGTAACGCATATCGATTTGCCAGATGAAAAAGCTACAACTTGAATTGAAGTTCCCAGCGAAAACTATGGTCTTATATGCCACACTCCCTCACTAAGTAAACAGAAATATGTCAGAAAATGCTTAATACTCCACAGACGTTGAATGTTGAGTCCGCAGCTGTCCACGTGCATTGATATAAGTGACGACATGTCATGGCGTCTGACTGCTAATTGATGTTCATGCAGGCGAAGATGAAGAGGGCGCCCGCTTTGTCCGATGTAGTGTTTGTCGCAGTTGGCACAATTTATTTTGTAGAGGATGTTTGGTTGGTCTTTTTTGTCATTTCATCCTTTGCTTTGCATAAGATTGAATGGAGGAATTTTGTTGGTTTGTGAGCAACACCTATTCCGAATGTTCTCAGCAGTCTCGTTTTCGTTTCTGATATACTTTTTATGTATGGCAAGGTGATCATTTTATTGATTCCTGCTGATGGATGCGGTCGCAACTGCAGACACACATCCAAAAATCAAACCAATGAGAGATACAACCAAAACAAAGAAGTAAACAATGACAGATTTAAGGTCAACGAGAACCAATCAACACAGTGTACAGGGCAAGCTGTGAACCACATGTTGAGAAATTTGAACACTTCACTTAAACCCGAATTTTGTGCTGATGCTGTCGTTCAGAAGGACGATGAAAGCTCCACGACAAAACCATCCAGCTCTGAGAACAAAGTTCCATTAAAATCATGCACCTGAGCTACAAATCTCGTCCACCATCTCAAAATCATATTTTGCTTATAAATGAATATGAAACAATATGATTATTACATTATAATAAGTTGATAATAAATAAAATGTTGAGTATAGACCAACCAGTGAATGTATGTACTTTGAAAGCAATCAACACAATAGATAAAGCGTAAGGATTCTTAATAATTAAAAACTTTATAACAACCTGGTAAAAATCTTACCGATTAATGGACTAATATAATAAGCTACTAAATATGGTACACTCAATGATAATCCAATAGTTACAAGCAATGGTGCGATTGCCCATAGTAAACGCATACATCGAGCATCTTGTCGATGATGTGTAATTTCCTCATGAAATAATTCTAGACGATTTCGTAACCACCATGGCGGTCCAAGAAGCGTAAGTAAGATAACCACTTTTAAATGCATAATACCAAATATCCAATGCTATAAAGATTAAAACAGATAAAATGATAAAAACTAATCGGTAGTTAAAATAAGTCTATTATTGAAATAGAGATATGTTGAAAACTACCTTTAATTAATCCGAGGTATTGCGCAATCGATGTTTAATGCCATCCGACATGGCTAAACTTTACTGGTCAAGTATCCTCTCTAAAACAGGAAAGTTATCTTGTATCTTTAGTCCCTACTGAGCACATGATCATCATCGGTAAAGAAGCTTTGTGGAATTTTCCGAATTTCATGGTCTACATGACGAACTAACATTGTTGTCCAATCAAGCTCAGTCCAGGATGAGCGCTATTAAATTCAGCAATCCATTTACAGATAGTTCTGTTGAAGAATAACTAACAAGATTTGAATACGAATGTTTTAACTTTTGATACATGCTACTGAAGATTATTTTTAAGTTTAGAAATCATTCACCTATGATGAGTTTAGCGAACATACAATGTAAATTCGTACTATAAATTGATGTATATTTTCAAATTATTTGGAAAAAGGTGGATTTTACTTATCATATCTGTGGTTTGGGATTAGATACCAGATCTGAAAAAGCAGTATTGAGCATATTTTGGGAAGAGTAGTTGTCATCATTGACCTCCACTCAATCAATGAGTGAAAAAATGATTTAAAACCGATTATAGATGGACAGACTACTTTGATATATTTTATGACTAACTTCTTGGCACAACAGGCAAGTCTACAACGAAGTAGATGGAGGGTGAATGAGTAAGTTTGGCTTATCTGAAGACATCATGTACTGATTCGCAAAGATTCCAGTTATTATTGAATTGGATATTGCATCTTGAGTGTAGTTGTTAGAGAATCGTAATAGGAGACTGAATAACTGTTTAGTACATTTTCAATTTACAACGTTCGTCCTAATATAGGCTATAGGTCAAGAATGGAAGCTATCTCGTGAAAATCAAACTAAAACTTATCAACTATTCAACCAGATATTTCACTCAAATATTCGATTAAATTCCTCTATGATAAATGGTATTTGACATGTAACGTAAACACTGGGAAAAGTTTTCAGTTAAACAATAATAATAAAAACAAACCTCCCAAAACCCAATAATAATAGTTTTCTTGGGTCCAATACGGAATGGTACAATGAAAATAAAGTTGATTAATAATCCTAAAGCTGTTGGTAGAATGCCTAGACATATTACAGCAATACAAAATAGACGTAACCAATTTATTATTATTCGTAAATAATTTTGTAGATATATTCCAATATTAGTATGAACAGTAGATTGAAATCCATAACGTCGATTCAAATCAATCATAGGAGCCATTGGTAATGCTGGTCGTCGAATTGTGATTTCACATGTTGTACCTAAACGAGTCCAGATTCTAAATACACGCAATGGTCTAGACCAACTAATTAAACTACCACTTCGACCAATCAACATGACAATTCGAGATATTCCACTGAAAAGATGTGGTATGCTGAAACGTAAGTACGATATACTTACATACATTTAAAGAATTAAAATTATGGGAATTATAAAATTAAAATATACTATGCAGTGATTCAATTGACAATCATGGTGTTATTATACATAATGTATTAGTATCATTAACAAGTTTCATGATGAAAATTTCTACTGTTTGGTCAGATATATGTTCCAAGTAGGGATCCAAGTGAAGACCGGAGTCAGACAATTATGCTTACTCTCCCCTTTCTCTTTCTTCTGATGGTCGACTGGATTATGAAGACCTTTATATCTGGGGGTAAGCGTGGAATACAATGGACAGTTTAGATGAAGCCAGACGATTTGGATTTCGCAGACGATATAGCTCTTCTATCCCACACACACGAACAAATTCAGGTGAAGATAGCCAGAGTAGCAGAAGCCTCTGTATCTTTAGGCCTCAACATGCACATGAAAAAAAAGCAAAAGAGTGAAATACAACACAGAGAACATCGACCCAATCACACTTGGTGGAAAAGCTCTGGAACAGGTGGACAGCATCATCTATAAACAAGGAGGATCCGCTGCAGAAGTAAAGATGAGGATTGGCAAAGCGATAGCGACATTCTTTCAGTTGAAAAATATATGGAATTCAAAACAAGTCCCAAACAACATCAAAATCAGAATATTCAACACGAATGTAGAGACAGTTCTACTGTACGGAGCTGAAACTTCGAGAACTACTACATCCAGCGTCAAGTAAGTACAGGTAGTCATAAACAATTGTCTACGTAAGATACTCAATGTTCGTTGGATGGATACCATCAGCAACATCCTACTATGGGAGAGAAAGAACCAGCTTCTACCTTAGGAGGAAATTAGAAAATGTTGGGAGTGGGTAGGAAATACGCTTCAGAAATCATCAAACTGAATCATGAGACCAGTGCTAACTTCGAATCCTGAAGGAAAATAGATACGAGGAAGATCAAACAACACACTGTGCCGGAAGTTAGAATCCGATATCAAAAGAATGAATAGCTACTGTAAAGGATTGTCCAGGAAAGAGTTCAATAGAGAAACCCCGTGTGTGGCCTACATTCCTCCATGAGGGGTAACAGGCGTATGTAAGTAAGTAATTCCGAATTCATTAATTATAGTATGTCACAATCTTGTATGATCGTTGTTTACTGTTTTATGGTATAATGGGTTCTGATTTTCTTGTATATAAATGAAGTATGCCTGAAATACATGATTTTTATAGCGGAGATCGATATTAGTGTTTTGCACTCAATCGGTTGGGTTAAGCGAGAAGCTACTATCTCGGTGGAGCAATAAGCACTCTGATTGACTCTAGGCCGCTCGTGCTGGTTTATGGGTCATTGGTCTGGTCAACAAGTCGGTGTTCTAATTGGCGATAAGTCACGTGATATATTCGCAAGACATAAGGAAATAACAAAAACGACTCCAGAAAACAGGAAATTAGCATAGGGAACTTGAAAACAGCCAATCAGAGAAGAGTACATAGGTCATGCGAAAATATAATTTAGAAGAAAATGGACTCAAGGATGTCGTTACAGAAAAGAACCCAACACTTGATAAAAAAGTTAAATAACCTGTTATCTTAGCAAAATATAATTTTTAATTTCAGCTCTGAATAATTGTATAACATTTACCGTATTTTATATTGGTATATGACATTGAATATAATTTTTGTATATAAGGATCAGATTTGAGCTGATAGATTGCTGTGGCCTTAACCACGTACAAGTTGCTGATCCAAACTTTTAAGCCAATTCTTTTGGCTATTTAGACAACTGTGAACAATTATTTGTTCATCGCTACACTTGACCAATGCCAGGTGTCATGAAATTGGAATCCAGGGTTTCCTGTCAACCACCGCTAATCACCTGATAATTATACATACGGCTGTACAGGTTAAGCAAATGCATGACCAAAAACAAAATTCTCAATTGAAGCTAGACCACCATGGTTTAGCTTCAATTGACTCACGCTTTCAACTATGAAAAATACTAAATCTCCACAAAACCCTTTCTGAAAATTTTCAATGTTAAAACGTTCTTATTTTGTCGAGTAATGCAGTAAGCCTCTTCACATATATATATAACTAAGAAGGTACTTTTATTGACACATATATGATTCAGTAAGTGTTGTCATCGAGACATTTAAAATGAAAAGTTAAGCGAGGAAATATGTTTTCAATTAATTCCCCATTTCAAGGCTTTGCACTGAAATGTAACTTTTTTAATCAAGTCTAAAATCAATAACAAGCACCAAATGTTGGTCGGTCAATTCGATAGTGTCCTCTCTAAAACAGTAATCGCTTAGAAGCTTAACAGATGTAAAATCAAATTTTAAGATAAGATTATGTAGTCAGTTAATTATTACTTAAGAATAAGAATTAAGTAAGTTCGAGAATTAAGCAATTAAATATAAATGTTATAAGTGTTATTTGTAAAATTACTAATTAAAAAGCGGATGCAAAAAATTTGGTTGATCAAATCATTGAAGTAGTTAAATCACGTAAATGATGTAGTAAATTAAATTTGAATGAAAGGAAACGCAGTAACTAAGTAAACAAAGACCATGTTAAATTAAGAGGTTGAACGAACTTTATCCGTATAAAAAGATTGGGTTTATTTATGTGTATATTTATAACGTCCAAATGCCCTGGTACGGTTGAGGGGGATTCTCTCTTCTCAAAATGGTCATATGACCACGCGTATGTAGCCACTGCCTTCTCACAACAGGTTTGTTGTTTACGAAATTGAGAGGGCGAAAAGCGAATGTCCGGCGCGTAAGTCGGGTTAGTGGGTATAGGGGATCCACTTAAGAGAGTTGGAAAACCCTGATTTCAAATGTGTGATGCATATCGATTCAGTATCCCGAGGGGACAAATGGCGTATGAATTTATCCTTAGTCACCTGCTACCATGGGACCGCATCTCTTAACGTTGCTCTTCTGCCCTTTGGACTAGACCTCTAGATCAAATATTCGAGGAGTGGCTCCTTTAGAAAATCTCCTGCTTCGGTTTGGGCACCTGGACAAATTGATTGATAACTATTTTGTGTGGTGCATATATATTTTGGCGTCTCTTCGTGTCAACGTTTATGCGTTTAAACAGGTTAAGCAAGTGCATTCGATAGAGAATCCCGGTGGGCGGCCTACGCTGATCTACGTGGCGTAACAGGTATATAAACTATCAAAGTTTTGAAACAACAAAAAGGGCAGTGACTTTCATATTTGTTGTGATTATCGTTGCTTTTGTGTATTTGCTGTATCAAAAGCATTCTTGGTCTACTTTAACTTGAATTAATTCAGTTAAGGTTTGAAATTTTATTGAAAACTTTGTCTCGTGGTTCCTTCTTTTGCATATACTCTGACGCTTGTGCTATTATTGTGATCATATTGTTTTTTAAACCTAATCTGATTACAATGGTTGGTAGTTCATTCAAATGTGGACAGCCGAACTGTTTATTCCCCGTAGATGAAGGAATGCAGTGCGATGAATGCAAAAAATGGTACCACAAGATGTGTACCCGTCTCAGTCCAGCTGCATACCAAAGATGTTCTAAGCCTAACTCGCACTGGCTTTGTATGTTCTGCTGTACTAACAAGACGACATTAATTCAAGAGGCTATGAGCCTATTGGCTCTAGCCTGTAAAAAGAGAGATGGTGGGTGCGCTAGTAACGCAAGCACTGACAGTGACGACTGTGTCAGTGTTGTAAGTGCTGTTACAAAACGCGCTGAACAACCTACTCTAATTAATGACAAAGTGAAACTTCCGTTACAACAAACGAGGAGTAAATCACCACATGGTATTGACATGAGTAATCATGTATCTTTAGTAGAAATTGAAGACCCGGATAAAACCGTCCCCGTCCCCAATAGTCCCAATTCAGCTGTCCTGAATGACCAAAAATGGGCCGCAGTAAAAAGGAAAAGAAAAGGAAAAAAAGCTAATGATAAAGCACACTCGGTTGACAAGCCATTGAAGAACTCACAGTCTGAGTCACTCAATGCATTATCGCACTCTGATAGAACGGCAGATCATCATCCTAGTGCGACTGAGAGGAATTTAATATCATCGAATATTATTGTGAGTAAATTGCCAGAGTCTAACGATCCAGATCCTAAGGTTAGACACACCCATGACTTAGAGAGGCTCGGAGAATATATCCGTAGCATATTACCAGATAACACTAAAGGTGTTCAGGTCAAAAAATTAGTTAGAATAAGTAAAAGGGCCGATGACAGTGTTCTACCCCGACCGTGTAGACTCCTTAAGGTAATCTTAGGGTCGGAGAAACAACGTAATCTTCTGTTAAGTAACGCTCGAAGTCACGACAACTCTGACATTCGAATGCGACCGGATGTGTCTCTTGAAGATAGAATAAAAAGGAAGACGGCACTAGCTGAACTAGAAACCCGTCGACAAAACGGTGAAGAAAATCTCCGATTGGTGGGTTTTCAAATAGTCAGGTCTTGGAAGCGAATGCTACCAAGGCCTGTGTGGATAGGTCGTTCCCCCTAGGAGTTTTATATGCCAACGCCCGTAGTCTAAAACATAAATTCTACGAGCTAGGAACATTAGTGGACAAATTAAGGCCACTCATTGTAGCTGTGACGGAAACTTGGTTAGTCCATGACTTCGACATCACCCCAGAATTATCCGGATATCATTGTTTAAGAAGTGATAGACATAGATGCAGGAAAGGAGGTGGCGTCCTTCTATACATAGCCAATAGTATAAATATCCGCTCCTCCGTTTGCGAATCCCATGATAGTGGAACTAGTGAAGTCATTAGCTGTGAACTCACTGTCGGATGTTGTACATTTGCACTCGGTGTCATCTATCGCAGCCCAATCTGCTTAGCTGATGACTTTATTTTAGAGCACATTCGGCTATGGAGTGCAAATAACAGATGCTTGATATTAGGAGACTTTAATGCACCTGACATTAGTTGGACTGAGATGACCACGAAATGCTCTATAAACTCATTTGATAGCAGGCTCTTGGAAACAGTAATGGAACATGCAATAATACAACATGTATCCAAACCTACACGTTTTGGTGTAAACCAAGGTTCTTCTCTGTTGGACTTGGTAATTACCCATGAGACTGAGGATATTGCCAACCTAAATATTCTTCCCCCTTTAGTAAATAGCGATCACGCTGTTTTATCATTCACGTCTAGAGCTAGCGATATGATATACGATCAGATTAAGCCTCGCCCAAACATATGGAGAGCTAATATACCAGAAATTCAGGATTGTGCTACTAAGATAGATTGGTCAGTAGATACTAGCTCATCAGTTGATGAGGCGTGGTCTGTATTTAAAGGCAAGTTTAGTGCAGTCACGTCCCCGTTCATACCATACTTGGTGCCACGTAGACCGAACAATAGTCCACCGTGGATAAATAAAGAAGTTAAGAAACTCCTTAGGCGTAGAAAAAAACACTGGAACATGTTCATCTCTACTGGCTTAGAACAGTACAGATCTAGTTAACGTAAGATTAGAAATAATTGTAAAGCGTTAATTAGTAGGACTAGACGGTCATACGAAAAACAATTGGTTAGGGATTGCAAACATAGTCCAAAACGGTTATTCTCGTATATAAAGAGGCGAACTCAGAGAAGTGATGGAATACCATCACTTTTGATACAAGAAAATCCGTTAAGTTTGGCAAGAAATGATACCGAAAAAGCGGAAGCTTTTTCGGAATATTTCAGTAAAGTTTTTTCTACCAATAATGAGGAACGATCACCTATTCATTGTAATTATGGCGACTTGTTGATGGACCCTGTAGTTATTAAGAAAGAAACTGTTTTAAGCCTACTCCAGTATCTCAAACCTGATAAGTCTAGCGGTCCTGATGATATTCATCCTCGGATTATGAAAGCCCTCTCAGATGTTATTGCTGAACCCTTAGCGATGCTGTTCGATATGTCCCTACGGCAGTCCAGATTGCCCAGAGACTGGAAGGACGCAATAATCAGTCCGGTGTATAAGACTGGGGGTAGGGATTTAGTTAGTAACTATCGACCCGTCAGCTTAACTAGTGCAGTTGTAAAACTAATGGAAAAAATTATTAGGATGGCTGTTATAAACTACGTGGAAAGACATGATCTTTTGTCAAAGGAACAACATGGTTTTCGAAAAGGTCTATCATGTTTGACAAATCTTCTCATTGCAAGAGAAGATTGGGCTGAGGCAAAAGATCGCAATATTCCTGTAGATGTCATTTTCATAGATCTAAGTAAAGCCTTTGATAAGGTTTCCCATTCTGGTCTTAAATTGAAACTAGAAAGTTTTGGAATTCATTATGCAGTCATAGACTGGCTAAGTGACTTTCTTCATGAAAGGAGACAACGGGTAAGAGTAAATGGGGCTCTCTCATCGTGGGAACCAGTAAAAAGTGGCGTCCCCCAAGGCACGATTTTAGGTCCTCTTCTCTTTTTACTTTATATAAATGAATTACCAGCTATAGCTAAGTCATCCGTCCTACTATTCGCCGATGACAATAAGATTTGGAGACCCATATATAGTATGTCAGACAGAATAGTTTTACAGGAAGATCTTAACTCACTAGTTGCATGGATGAATGGGTGGTCACTAGAAGTAAACCCTAATAAAAGTGTTGTGATGCAAATAAATAACTACGATGATTCGTATCACTACACATTATGTGGACTAGTGTTGCCCAAAGTAAGAAACTATAAAGATTTAGGAGTCATACTAAGTAATGATCTCAAAACAACCAGTCACTGTAAGGCTGCTGCTGCAAAAGGCTATAGGGCATTATGGTCTATTCGTAGATCTTTCCGGTATCTGGATGCGGAAATGTTTAGATTATTATACCCAACTTTCGTACGGCCACATTTGGAATATGGGATTCAAGCAGCGAGTCCTTGTTTCAAATATGAGGCTATGTTGGAACGAGTCCAAAATGGTAAAAGGCTTATCTACCCTATCTTATGAAGACAGACTGAGACACCTCAACTTATTTCCGTTATCTTACCGGCGAATACGGGGTGATCTAATATTGGCATATTGTATCCTGAACGATGACCTTGGTACTAACATGTCCTATCTTTTCCTCCCGTCTAGGGCTGAGCATTTGAGAGGACATTCAAAGAAAGTCCAAAAACCGAGATCAAATCGTCTACGTCTGGAGTTTCGTTTCTCGCACCGAGTAGTGAATTACTGGAATTCTCTACCAGAACACGTAATATCAGCACCTTCTGTTGATATATTCAAGACGAGATTGGACCTCCACAGTGTAACAAACTGCAAGGATTAAAATAGGTCACTAGACCTTCTATCCTTATTACTGAAGACTGAAACAATAATCAGTATGTTAATAACTACTGAACTGAAAATTTTCTTTTGAAATCGAAAACGATGAGAAAAAAATCCTTTTGTAAAACATTTCAGTTGTTTTGAGTAGACAAGGTGCGTTGATTATACAGTCGGTCAAATGCAATGTAGAAGCTGACACATGTGTACATCGGTTCAAATGTCCATATAACATTCGCACAATGAGGTGACATTGTCCAGGGTAAATTTTAAAATAGTAGATGTAATAACAGTAATAATGGTAATAAAACAAAATCAGACTAATTCATAAACTCAGGAATCAAGGGAAACCGAATAGTGCATGTATTTGAGCCACTGAGAACGATTTTGAGCTACTTAACTTATTCTTTAAGCATTTGTTACGATAATCACGTTGGTCCCAACTAGGTAGTCCAATAGCTTATCTTCATGAAACGATACTATGATTTGATTTAGCTACCTCTGCTAGCTTCCTTTTAAGTTACTCATACAGTACTCATCAATGTGCATCGAGGTAGTCAGTGGATGAACGAATAAAAAATATATGTCTTAACTATCTTAGTCGATAAAGATTGACTACCTTCTTAAATGATTTTTCATGCTTACCTCATACTCTATGTCTAATCTCAGGCAAACACTACAGTGTTAAATATTGATTACACTAAAATCAAATAAAGTCAGTTGATACTCGTATTTAGGCAACCAGTCTAGAAACATTATACTAGAAAAATCCAAAATAAATATTGAGTCGTGAACCCTACAATTCAGGTAACTTATAGTATTAAACATGGCTCAAATTAACGAACACATTTATAATTATTTAGATTACTGACGAAACTAATCTTAATACATTCAGTAATAAATACCAGAGCAAGCTACAAAATAGTGCATAAATAAATTAGTTTATTAATTTTCCAAACAACTCATCCTAATTCACACTGCAAATAGATTCATTGACAGATATTCTTCAACCATTGCGTTGAAATCGCGGGTAGCGCCATTAGCCATATTTCGACACAACTTACTATTCATTCATAGACATTATATGCTCATGGTCAATGGAGTACATGAATATTTAGAGAAGAGAACTTACCAAGGAGCTAGACGGAGAATTATTCCCAGAACAGTGAATCCACCGACTAAAGCGATAGCATCATGTTTTGATGTAGAATCAGTTCCGCTTAATTTCAATAACAATAAACGTCCAATACCAACTGGTAAAATTAGTACAGTTAAGCTTAAACATATCAAACTAGTAATTAAGATTAGAATTAAGCCAGTAATTCGTAATTTGAAGAAATTGCCTCGTTTATATGGAATATAACGAGTAAAATCTGTATCATCATCATTATCATAATCAGTGTTTGCATGATTATCATTATTTTGTTCATTATGTTCAGGTTGGGATTGTTCACGAAATGGATTATTTATTGAAGTAATCTGTCCATACGATGATGATGACGACGATAAACTTGGAGCATACAAATCTGTCGAAACATCGTCTAGTTCATTAGGCAATATCCGTTGAGATGATTCTATAGACATGGATCCCGAATGACTATTTAAATTAGATGTTTGAGCATGAGTATTTCGACGTTGTTTGTATGGTACTTCTGTTCCATTTTCAGTAACAATAAAATCCTAAACCAATAAACATTAAGTAAAGCTGTTACAAGAAAAGGTTGCTCAAACTGATATAAATAAATTTTTAATTCTCTGGAATGAATTTTTCTTAAAAGTTGGATTTAATGAAATGGTAAGAACAACATACATCAATCCTATAATAAGAATATGGTGAAATGCAATTCCGTGTATTATATGCTGATATCCAGTAAATAATTTATGGTCGATTACTTTACTCTATCCAATTAATTTAAAACGATCATCATATTTTCATGAATAAAACGTCGATATGACCAATATTTTTTGTATAGACCATCGGCGGTGATTACTCTAGTAGTGATGCGTGGGCGAGAATGACAGTGATTGGTTGTCTCTATGAGTCAGACATTAGATAGGATGACAGGTGTTATGTGTTATATATAATCCCCTATCCTTATTATGTATGGACTGTTTCTTGTTGATGGACACTTATTGATTGACTGTTCTTTGTGTCGGATTTTGGTGTGGAAATATATTGACGTTATAGTCAGGCTAATCTCGTGTTCTTGATTTGAGTTCTGTTGAAGTCCTGTAGAATAGACACTGGGTGGGAATCTAGTGTAGATATTCGTCTAAGATAAATTAACGTCCCACATACGTTTAAGAAGTAAAAGGACTGTTATAACCAGAAACCCCTAAAGTTATAACCAGCATCCTCTCTCTCTCTCTCTACGTTTATAACAATTGGCGACGGCATACTTACGTTTATAACAAATAGATATCTTGATTTCGATTTTTCGGTATGTATTTACAAATTTGTATTCTAATGTGGAAAAAGCTTTTCAACGCGACTTAAGCACCAGATGAGTAAACATTTTATTATGTGGTTTGGATACGATCACATAGACAATAAGAAGGACCATTTTATATATTTGACCGACAATAATCGTATACTATTTAAAAATAAATCATGAGTAATCTATCGTACATTTTTGTTGTTCCTCAACGTGGTTCAGTCTGGTCTGCTTCATACAGCAGATGTTTTATAGGTCTGTGTGTGCAACTTCAGTCTATGTATTTAAAAAATTGTTCTAACAACTCTGTCGCTTCAATCTTGATGGCACAAAGCTTAATAAACGATTTTATTAAATATTAATTTCCATATCCTTTACTTTTCTCCACCCTTTTTCGTTTTTATCCCTTGGTTTATTTAACCAACTAGTAGTATCAGAAGCCTTAGATAAGAATAATTTATCTCCAAAGATAAGAGTACTTGAATAAGGGTTACTATACAGTTAGACAAGAAATCGGAAAATCAGCAAAGAACAAATGGAATTAAGAATATAACTATTATTAAAAATCTGTTCAAGTTGTAACATGAAGAAGGCGATAAACATAATAATAATATAAGTGCACAGAGATAGGACACAAAAGTCAACAACACAAAGAAGGGAAAATGTCCAATATACAAATATTGATGATTTCAAAATATTATTATGTTATGTTCTTATGGCTTATCAACATATCACGTGACTAAATCGCCAATCAGAATATCGACATATACGATCTTGACCCAGTGTCAAACCAATAACGTGTTACTCATAACGAACAGCACATAGTCAACTTAGAGTCCTTATTGGTCCTACTCGCTTAGCACTGCTCGTTGTGTCAAGAACACAAGCTCAGCTTACACTGTATGAACCATGTATTTTAGACATATGCAATTTATCAACACGGTAATCAGACCACATAATACCACATAATAGGAAATAGCGGTTGCTTTGCGTATGCGAGACCGTAACTAATAGTTGAGACCATGAAGAAAAGATGTTGGGAGTGGGTAGGAAATACGCTTCAGAAATCATCAAACTGAATCATGAGACCAGTGCTAACTTCGAATCCTGAAGGAAAATAGATAAGAGGAAGATCAAACAACACACTGTGCCGGAAGTTAGAAGCCGATATCAAAAGAATGAATAGCTACTGTAAAGGATTGTCCAGGAAAGAGTTCAATAGAGAATCCCCGTGTGTGACCTACATTCCTCCATGAGGGGTAACAGGCGTACGTAAGTAATAATCTAGTTGCTAAATAGTCATACAATAATAGTATACACATAGTAATAGTGAACAAATCATTCCTAGCATTTACCTTTCATTTATTCTACATTAGAATATAATATATTTGATGTTTTAATTTTTAACTGTCACTGTTATCAGTTGTCGGTTCTTCAAGTTCACAGTATACCATAGCAGCCAGAAAGACACTAATTGTTTCCAGCAAGAATACGAAGCGAACAGTATAAGATTAGTCTTACGTATATATATATATATATATATATATATATATATATATATATAGAGAGAGAGAGAGAGAGAGAGAGAGAGAGAAAATTCTATCGATTAAAACTGTAATGTGATTGTTAGTCTACATAATTGAACATCGCATGCACTATGGTGGGATGGTAGATTGCTGAAGGGTTTTTCCCGGATACTTACAAAGACATCTTGTGTTAATTATACGTCCTAAAATATTAGTTAACTTGTACCATGAAAAAGTAGCAGTTAAATTTATTTAGAAGAGAAGAATAAAGAAGCAACTACAAACGACGTACACTTTTTTCGACATTGTGTCGCTGAATTCCGAATCCATAAGGTATTAACATTCAGATGTCTGTTGTGTTTTATGAATCATATGCTTTCATTTAATGTATAAATCAGTTATATTCTTTTTTATTCCAAAATTGCAGTAACTTAGATGTGATCTTTGTATTCCTCTTTTTCTATTATAAAACGCTAGTTTGGTTAGACTTGTATTTTTCTCATTTCTTGTGAGTTGTAGTCCTCTTAGTTATACGTTCATACATATACCTATTTTGAATTAATCGAATCAAGAATAAGTCGGAGAGGGGATTGCAGTTAAATGGTCTTTTTTTCTCCCTTTGCCAACCAGTCAGCTCATATGCAATTGGTAGAGTAGTTTCTCTACTCTGCCCTCAAGCTCACTCAAATACTAATCGAACTCACGTGTCACAAGTCTCAAGATATTATGAGGCAACCTATCACCTCAAAGCCATAATCTGGATCAAGAGAACTCCCTACTTCCCTATACATTAAGTAAATACTAGTGGTCAAAATGACGATACAAGACATATTTTTTAGAAAAAGTGGAGAAGAACTCTAGGACTTCCAAGGCATTCTTGACAATGTTAATAATTAGGATAATGGGTTCTCACAAAGTGATATTTACCAAATAGCGGGACCACATTTTAATCTCGTAGTCAATAACTCAACTGTTTTTTCCGAGATATCAGTTTCCGTAATGGACCCATAGGATGAGTACAACCAACAGCATTTGAATTACTTGACTCTAACATGATTATAAAGCGAGATAAACAAAACATATGTCTAACAGTATTAAATAATACCCACAATTTACGACCCTCAGAATGTAAAACGCACTACCACTTTAGTGCCTAGTATTTATTTTGTCATATCCTGTGATCGGTTTATTTGATTGATAGCACATTAAAATATTACGCGTGCATTTTCTTTTATGCAAACATTTACCTCAAAAAATAATGAAAATTAACTAACCCCTGGTGAAAATGGAATATCACCTAGTAAGTAACTACGTAAACCAAGCAACCATGATACACATAAACACCACCAACGTAAAATCTGACGAAGACTTGTTTTAGCTTGATTATCCAATAAGAATGGTAGAACAACTTGTAATAGTATCATTTCCAATGAATAATCCAATGGACTTTCACTTGAATAAAAGCATACAACGAAAGATATGAATATATATATATATATATATATATATATATATATATATATATATAATACTGAATCAGCCTAACAGAAAAATTAAACAGAATAAATGGAATTCAGCTAGCAGCTATATGTATTTTCAATAACCTATGTATAATTCAACTACACTCAAATTTCAGAGGTAAACCATATGTTACTTGATGTGTTTTTTTATGCACTCATTAGTTATTTTTAATCTTGATGCTAATGAAATATTTAAGGTATGTATTAAAGTTCGTCAAAGAAATGCTAATTTTTGTTTTACAGGTTTCTATGAAACTTTTAACATCCTCATTAGGCATCCTAAGATATTTTCTTACCGTAAGGGATTTATAGGAATCATTTACACCACGAAATGATTTTAGAACAGAACAATGGGTAGAAGAATTAACCATTGGAAATTACAAAGCGTTTACAAAATTTGTATACATAGTCTGCGATCATCCATTAGAAGCGTGTTGTGTTCCGCAATCCAAACTGTCTTCTCAATAGGTCAGCAAGTGTCATCTAGTGTCTACTGGTCTTCAATGGTTGACTACGCTGGGTTCGCGATGTAAACAATGGAGTTAACAGAATTCTCACTAAAAAACAGTCATGTACTCTCGATTGGAAAATATTCAGAGGTAATCTCCAAGTTCTACTGAAACGCTATGACTAAAGGAGTTTAATCGTATCAAGTGTGAGGTGGGTGCCCATTAATAGTACTGGAAGATAGCTGTGCAATATTGCAATACAATGAGAGTAAGAGGTATAAACCTTAGGAGGTTAACTTAATGATCTGAAGATTGAACGATCGCTGACAAACCCTGAGGGTCCGCAATTTGATCTCCGGTGAGTCACAACTTAGAACTTCGTACGTACGTACATCAGTTCGAGTTGCCATACCACATTCGCACAGAGATCAAGTTGTTGATCCAAATTCCATAGTGGTAGAAGTAGTAAGAGTGTAAGCAGTAATGTGAAAGATTAGGGTTTGAAGATATTATTCAAAAAGTGTAATACAGTGAAATAAATTTGAAAAGAGAAAAAGTATAGGGACATGAAGAATTCAGAACACTAGAATTTAGTAGAACACAAAGAGTGGATGCACCTTCGCCATTACAAACGATTTTGAGCCATGTCATTGAAGGTCTTTGTTGGGGATGTCAAATCCCCAGAATTTACTTGGTAAATAGCTTAGTTTTGTAATTTTATTTTGGAAATTTGAATTTAGCTGTTTTCGCGCCAAACGCGCTCTTTTTACCTTCACGTCATATTTCCCACTTGTAAACTATCTTAAACGCTATTGGTCCATTGTTTCTTTGTGTACGCTATTTACTAATGATGCTCAAGGACAATTTGTTGTTGTATAAATGCGCTTGACTTTTTCCCTTATTTGATTGCTGTGCTTCTGGCTGCTACGGAATATAACTTCCCCGCTCCAACTTAGACTTCTTACTCTAGTTAGCTGGGTCTGGGTTGCGTCAGTATAGCTAGTTATCGGTCTCTGGTCACGTGTCTTTGTCCTGTTCGCTACTAGTGAATTCGTAACGCTTCAGATATAACAGTCTCTAACCATCGATTGCTATCATCTCGCGAATCCCAAACAGATAGTCTACACCTACCAGCATGGCTCAGTCCACTTGTCAGTTACTTCATGGATTTGTGCCACGTTTTGGTCTGGCCGCCCCTAGCTTTCTTCCAACCTACTCCTACACCATGAAACACTGCACGTCGGGGCAGTCGGTGGTTGGGCATACGTAACACATGTCCCAGCCTTCTCAAATGATGAAGTTTCACCACATCAAGCGATTTGCCATCCTTACCTAGTACCCGTTTCCCAACAACTGCATTACTTACTCGGTGGTCCAAGGATATACGAGCAATGCTTCGAAGACACATATGATCGAATACTAGTAGCCTACGATTGTCCTCTACTCTAATCGGCCATGTTTTGCTGCCATAAAGTAGGACGGACCGAACTGCTTCACAGTAAACCCGTCCTTTGGTTGCTAGACGGACATCTCGCCTACGCCATAAAAGTTGGAGAAAGCTAGTCGAGTCTTCTGTATCCGGTGAGAGTGTTGATGAAGCAACTTATCTATATTATACGTATTTGTGTATTTTGCTGTAGGCCAGTGTTGATATCTAACTGGACAAACCGAAGTACGTAGAGTGAGACTCAAATTTGCGACCTGTTCTATATATCAACTAGTAAAAAGGCTACCAAAAGGAAATCAAATTAGAAAGTAAACGAACTTTGACCACTAAACACTACTGTTCCACTTTAAAAACAATTAACTAATAAAGACCAGAGTTCCGACTTTTTTTAATATTTATAATCCCATACACAATACAACAGAGTAAATTATTGAACATAGTTACTAGTTTTTCCAGAACTTACTAAGCTGCACTAATACGAAATGGCAGGAAATTAGGGAAGAAATGCCGAATAACTTCTGTAGGTAACCAAAGCATAAGTACAATTAATATACCCCAAACTGACTAGACAATTTAAAACAACAAAACAAATATATAGAAACTAATGCATTATTAACACTAATATTATTATAATTATCTTTCAAGTAACTTAGAAACTAATTATTTAGAACACAAAAATCCAAATAACCATATGCGATTAATCTATCATCCAATTTACATAGGATTTTAAATGTGAATAGTCAATTAAAACTTAATGTTATAGTTTGGTAAATTCGGGAGAAAACGGAAAATCCATGTTTGTTATTTTTCCTCTAACTCGAGATGAAATTTTAGGACATTTATTTTATCTAGTGATAGTTTGACTTCAGTTTCATTCTCACTGTAACATATTTAGTTATTATGATATTATCCTTATAGTTTTCAGGATAACATTATTCCCGGTCAATCCTTTTCTCTATCAATTGAATGTAAAAACTTTTGGCCAGTATGAAAATTATATTCTTTGTATTAGTCTATGTTAAATTCGTATGTGTTTTTACAGTAACATTGTGTATCTTTTCATTTATATGATATAATCAACTAGTGGTCAGTATATAAAATGAGCGTAATTAGTTTTAATGATTATATGTTTTTGTACGACTTGGTTTTGAGGATCTCTTTACACAATTTATTTTTGAGAGTCAATAAACATGAATGTACCAGTATTTGCGTTATCACTTTGTGGTCATATGAATTACAGTGGTGTTCAATCTTAAGTATAAGTAGTATGACCATAGATATTACATAATCTCACAGTGGAAAATTGTTCAGCACTTACATAAGTAGCAATTAAACGTTGTATGTATAATGGTAATGGTTGAAGTATCATCTGCAATCAAAACAGAACAAATGAAAATATGGTGTAACTTTCTGTTCAATTCGTTGTCAAGAATAATAATTATGTAAAAATACCTTATGAGATAAACAAATGAAGGAAACAAGACAGTAGATTTCTGTACAAGGATATATTTGAACGTACATGTATATCTTAGTATAATTTGACAACAGACTCGTTGGGCTACATCACTTCAATTTATACAAACTCAATAAACTCGATTATTTTCGTCAAATGAATTTTATTTTACAATCACTCGACAAACTTCAGGTCACAACAATAACAATATAGTTCAGTTAATTCCGTAAACGCAAGTGTTGTGTGATATTAAAGTGTACCAATAACAAATGAACTTATTATTGGAGGATTTTAATAATTTAACGAACGAAATTCTATATTTATGAAAGAAAATGGAATACTGATCGATAGGTGATATGCAATAATAATAATGTAGTGAACGAGAACACCAGTGGGGAAAATCGAATGTATTTGAACACAAAATTACTACTTGAGATTCTGCAATAAAAATAGTGTCAAAGGTCATTAGTCTTGGCGTAAGGTTTTCGTCGGATCTCCTTTGATCTTCTCATGTTTTGTTGTTATGGAGGAAATTTTTTCATATATTTACCATATAAAGAGGCTGCATACTTTGGCATTACTCGACATTTACTCTTGGGGTTTGTTAGTTATTGCATATTACATACTATTCCTTAGTGTTCTCCATTATTCTTTACCGCAGTTTTGAGAAAAGACTTTGCTGTATTACGGAGAGTGCTGAAGGCAGTTAACAGGGTGTGGCGAATTTCTTAAGGTCATTGTTTATATGGTTGTAGATAGATGTCTAAAACCTCGCAAACTTCTAGCAGGTGTCGCCCTATAGTGGCGAACAAGAACATCAGTGGGGACAATCGAATATATTTGAACACAAAATTACAAAATCTTTTAGTCAAATATGAGAATTATACAGTAAATACTTTATTTGCAAAATATCAATCAATGGTTTCAAGCTTGACTGTTCCTTTGCAAATGTCAATCATTCGTCTCAGACTTCACTGTTTCTTCATTTCCATACCAAACGCTTTCTGTTCCCGTTCTTTCCTTCTCGATTTTCTCGACCTTCTGCTGCCAGATATCCTAATCCTGACTATCGTTGTATACTACTTATGTCTATATAAGTAGCACACACCGCACTATCATATACTAACTATCCATTTCATTTATATCTTCCTCCTTATATATATCTTCTGATAAAACACTAGAATCCATGAACGCAAGCAAAGATATAAAAGCTCTACAATAACTTATCTAGCAGATATATCATGTGACAAACAGGTCGTTAGGGCTCAGCTAGTCATTAACTTGTATTTTTAAATATGTTTCAAATTAAAAAGATGAACAGATTCAAATCCAAAAAACATATCCAATTCCAGGCACTTTATTAACCAAATTTATATATATATATATATATATATAACATTTTCGTTTATGTTTTGTTTTGTAAAACAAGCTTGTTGAAATGCTCTGTGCTGAGAATTTTATATTGTACCAAAAATATGGTATTGGATAAAGTCATTAATAGTGATAATCCTAAAAATGGTAATATTAATGATGATAATAATAATATTCCCAGTCTATTTGAATTCATTGCTTCAAGCATCCAATTTACTATCACCGAAGAAGGGCTAAGCATAACTTAAACACAGATTTTTACACAGAATGCAATCAGTCTTTACATATTGAACTGTAAACGAAAGAGCCTTCTTCGGATTTCTAACCAATGGTCCATACGTACGTACGTAAGAAACGAAACCAGTAACAAGTAGAACAAAGAAATAACAACATATTTGATAACGATTATTTAAAAAGATACAATAAAATATTTACTTACGTCCTGAATAGGCTTATAATCCGGATCATTAAAATGATATATGAAGCGTAAAACACCAGGACGTAGTACACTTCGACCCAGTACAAGCAAAGACGCCATATAAAATATGTACAACATGCCAATTGCCCAATGAATAAAGGTAAAAGCAACTGGTGCATAATTAAACACACTAGCTCGTTGAGTTAACGTCGCATTGAAAAGAGACTACATAAATATATGCAAAAAAATTGTACTTAAATATTTATATTTTTAAAGTATGAGAAATAAAACTAATCTAAGTATTTTCAATTTATCACTACAGACGAACAGCACTATGTGATGCATCCCATCCCTCAATTAACAACTGACACCTTTGTCAATCTAATTAACATTCTTGTGTCTCTTAGGGAAAGCTTAACATAAGTGGCTGCTTTAAATATAATCTCACAAACTTCGAGTTAGTTGTAACCATCTAAACTTCATAAAGCGATAAAGGTTCAATGTTGGCCCGTCCATTTTATCTGTTTGTAGATTCGTAACTGAAAAGTAGGTGGAGACTAGTTGAGTTGTTCTTCGGAAAACTGTACATTTCCCTTTATTTACTTCCTTTGTGGGTCAGTAGTTAGACACAATATAGAAGAACCTGGTACATATATGTGAAAGTCACGATCTAATCAGTCTTTTTCGGCGCTAGTTCAAAGTATAATTAAAGTATTAAATTTAGTCAGTTCGGTACTTTTAAAGTAGCATACTAAAATTGTTGCCTTTTCTAAACGTTACAAATCATTGATAAAAAAAGACAACAACAAACTTGACGGCCATTCAAAATAACAAAAAGCCTACTGACATTTTACACTGAGAAAGTGCGTCAAGCAAACAAAGTATTTTGCAAATATCGCGACAATTATTCGAATTTAAAACAATACATCAAAATCATACATAAAATCTGAAGTATAAAAATCAATAACTGGAAAAAAATCATTTCCAATAACAGAGATCTTTACGCTTAGTATGCAAAATCAGTTGTTATAATTTAAACGCTTTGTGTTCTTTATTCATGGAACACCATATTTTATTAAATTTGCTTAAAGTTTATGACAAAATTCAAAAATAAACAATAGTATTTACTGGTAAAAATAATAAGTGAAATTACTTATCGCTGGATAGACAATCAAGTAAGGTATACTTACCAAAGTGCAAGCATCTATCCAAAATCCCGACAAAATGGGAAAAATACCCAATTCCATTAAAGAAAGCAATGCAACTTTGATGTATATATAACCAAGACCGGTCCAATAACAAGCTCTGTGTGCACAGTAATTTGTAAAATTATTGATAATAAGTGACTTTTAGGCATAAAATAATAACTATGAGAGCAGTAATCATTCTTGCTTAGAACTAAGCAAATTAAGTCGAGTACAGATAACATAAGTTAGTAACGAAGGGATTTAAACAATTAAATGTAATGATATGAAATTTAAAATCAATTACCAAAACAAAAAGGTTTTTTTAAAAAACATAGTTACGTTTCCGAAATAAGAGACCATTGAAAGGGGTGATTGAATCCATTCACTCTGTTTAAGGTGGGTTTTTTACGAGGGAATAGTTGTAGGAGCTACAACTAATAACAAATGATAATGTAAGTATGTAGCTCAAATGTTCTGACATTAAAACTTGGAATAATTCTATGGAGCCAATTTACATGTTGATTTGATCATATGTAGTATTAATACCTCTTGGTTTCTTAAAGTCCATCACTAATCTTTTGATATATTTGTGTTTCAAGTTCAAAAGATTAAGATCAGTTTACGTGGTGTGTTAATCAGTCCACTTTTCGCCCTAGCTTTAAATGCATAGTATGTAGCTGACTATCAGTTTTCATTACATATTCGATTTAAAGACTAGCTGAATCTTGTCAAATACTTCACGCAGACGACTTACTATACTGACATAAAAAAGTGATGTATGTACTTGTAAATGTAGCACTTACAAATAGGAGAATCTGAGAGTCCTAATATACAAAGGCTAAATTTTCAACCGAAATTAACATAGTTTCTAAGTTCAACTATTAGTCACCTCAAAATATCAAAAATTTACATAGTAACCTTATAAAATTGACCAATCTTTATCAGTTAGCAGTTTAAAGATCCCCATTGAATATTCAAAAATGAACAATATTTGAGCGAACAATTGTTTCCAATAATTTCATCATCAGGCTCTTCAGTTATAAGTCCATAATTACGATATTTTACAAAGGCCAAATGAGGCATGTATTAATTAATTTGACAATGTTATATGCTAAAAATGGTGAACGTTTGCATCTGTTACGACGTATACTATTATACTGATTGTGACTGGACACTTTATTGTAAATCATTTTGACCTTTATTAAATGACCTTTCTAATTTACAAACAACACAATTTTGAAGTTCATTTTTGAATATTCAGTGGGGATCTTTAAACTGCTAAAATCCAGTGAGCACTCAGTTGCACTGAAGGGACTCAATGAGTTCCTGAATTATGGTGCGAAACTCACAGAAGCGAAAAGCAATCTTGATTTTATCCGTAATTGCAATGTTACACACCGATATCCCAAAGACTATTGCAAACCCTTACGTCGATATAAAATTAAACCTAATATTAAATCACTGGAAAGATATGCGCTTAGTCAAATCAAATCTCTTCAAAAATATATTGTTGAGTTAGAAAGGAATATTGCACAGAGATTATATGCCGTCGAAGATCTTCTACAAAACTTAAAGGATTCATATATGACTTATGTCCTAGAAGTGCAGAAAATAGTTAGTGAAATTATTAGAACCATTACACCAAGAACTGGTTAAACACAGTGTTAAAGACGTATTTCAATTTGTGGATTCAATAAAAAAATATGAATATAAATGGTAAGACCACGTTATCACTAGACATAGCATCCTTGTTCACTGACATCCAGCTGGCTGAAATTATCGATTACATATGTGAACAAGTGCTAGGAAAGAAAATCGAGATACGGATTCCAGTAAGTAAAATAAAAGAACTTCTGTTGAAATGTACTATGAAAATCTGTTTTAAGTTTAACAATGAATTTTACAGACAAGTAGATGAAGAAGCACTGGGATCACCTCTAGGCCCGATCCTTGCTGACATTTTTCTGGCCAAACTAGAAAACGAACCGTTAAAAGACATCCTAAGTAAGCTAGACTGTCGATACATAGATGACACACAAATCGTATGTGACGAAATTGTTGACAAGCAGATGTTGGACTTTTTCAGTAACATCCACCCAGCTATTAAATTCACCAGCGAGGAAGAGAAAGACAATAGCATAGCTCTCCTTGACGTCCTTTTTTCGAGAAAAGACGGTTCCATAAAACGAAATATATTTTTAAAAAATACATGGACGGGTCAGTATACCCATTTCCAAAGCTTCACTACTCAATATAAAATAAGTTTGGTTAAATGTCTCAGCCAAAGAATCAAGCTATTATGTTCTAAGGACAGTGCCGATAGTGAAATAGATATACAGTAAGACGAAAAAATAATATGCAAGTAACGCTTAAACAGTTGGCAATCAGTGTCTATAAGTACGTCATGTATTTCGAACCTTATAAACGTAAAGTACTTTTGTAGAAGACAGGTGTTTTTTACAAAAATAAAAAAAACAATTCACTACAAGTTAATAAATAGAGGCAAAAATATATACACAAAAGAATTTATCTTACCGAGGCATATTGAGAATAGCAAATATTTCATGCATGAGAATCAAAGCAAAAGCGAAAATAATGTAACCAATTAAACTTGTACTAAATCCTTCCATGTGAGTTGCATTAATCTATAGATAAATTAAAATATTTGTTAATAACTGACACTAATAAGTTGTGATTGGTTTTAACAGCAAAAAACGATTCACTTACAAAACGTTCCAAATTGAATCCCAACACAGTAAACTGGCCCATATGATATGGACAAAAGGCTATAAATTAAATCGATAAATAAATGATGCAGTTAGTGAAAAGTAGAAGAAAAAATCAAGCGTAAACATATGAGGATATTAAAAAACCGGTAAAAAATCAAATTACATGATGATTTGTGATAAAAACAAAACAAAGAGTCATGAATTCAGTATATGTGAACCAATTACATTACTTAATGTTGGTGACATGAAAAATATTTTAGTTATACAAAGCTTGGCTAATAAATTTCATTAAAACTTAAACAAAAATTATCATCAATGAACGAATAGGATATGTGTCTGTGGACTTGTAATACTTAGTTTTTCAGTGCTCAATATGTGTGCGGTATCAAACATTTTCCATTCATTTGATGGGTGTGTGCTACATGCAACAGGGTAATTTTCACTGGGAATTTCATTTCAGGTTCTAAATTCCCCTTTGTTTGCTTTTTTCATCCGGCAAATCGGGATGCGATACAACCGCCTGTTCGTAGGAGACACATGCAGATAGCTTCAGGTAGTTAAAATGAAGTCCTGAGTGGGAATTATGCTCTTATGTGCAACACTGACACGCTAAATAAGTGGAAAAATGTTTGAAAATACTAGATATCACACTTTTGTTGAGCATTAAGAAAGAATGGTTATCCAAAAATGCAGTAAGTACAGTTGGGAATATTTAGATCAAATTCAAAAAAGTGTAAAAGGTGATGTTACAACCACAATTACATTTTATTTGATGAAGTGAGATATACAATAGACCTTTCATTTTCATTAAGAGAATAAATAACCTAGTTTCGAATGCAAGCTGACTACGCTACCTGTGTTAGACGTATCATCAAGGTTAGAATACTGACGAGTTGGTTGCATTAATGACCTCAGCAGTAACAGTAATAATAGCACAAAATATTTCATTCTAATACGAAAGCGGCTAAACGAGCAGAAACAAGTAATTTTTAAAATTGAGTTGTTTCAATCTTAAAGTTTTCGTCTATTCGTAATAGCGTATTGTTTATTGAGTGATATGACTCATAATCCCTCACGGTGGCACAGAAGAATCCACTGTCTTTTTTATAACATGGGTTTCAAAATTTCATATATTTTATTCCGAGAACTCATTCTTGGATTTTATTGTCCGTGCCGAATGTTTTCTACTACTACTGATACTGTTACCACTTCTACTACACTGAAAATTGTCTTGATAAATACGTCTCGCTGTCCTGATTATCTGGCAACTTGCATTGAGTAATCATTAACTTTCTCAAACTTAGAGCATTACCAACTTCGACACTTTATTTAATCACTTATTTATCTACTAGTATACAAGTGCTGAAAAATAAATTCAGCATATTTCGTATTCAGCTCTTATTTACCACTGTGGCTCAATGAAATTAGCCTAAGTATAAGATAAGTATTTAGGTGGAGTTTTGTTCTCTGAGCTGTATGGTTTGGTCGTGGAGCTTTGATTGTACTTCTGAACAACAGTACAAATTTCAGGTAGAAGTGAAGTGTTTAAATTCCTCCAAATATGACTCACCGCTTGTCCTGTAAACATCGATCTTGATTTGTTATTGTTGACTAATCAAGAACGAGGTCCACAGGGCGGGCTGTGAGTCATGTCCGAACACTTCACTTCTACTTGGAGTTTGTGCTGATGATGTTGTTCAGAGGAATAATGGAAGCTCCACAACCAAACCATCCAGCACAGAGAACAAAAATCCATCTAAATCCACCTCAGCTACAAATCTCCACCATCTCAACATAAGAATGAAAACGGGGAATTATTTTTTATTATTGTCAACTCATTATTGACAACATTATGTGAACTATTTAGTTACTATCATATATTTGACTAGAGATTCGCAGTAGTTACTTTATAACATGTATATAGAGAACATATAGTTGAATTCCACTTCCCATTACAAATTACGTTTTATTTGACATGCTCCGAGTATTTACAGTGTAGAAACCCAATAAGCGCACTTAACACCATTCTTTCCGTGTAGCTTTATTGTAAACACCAAGAATTGCTTGACATTAGATCTCAATCAACGAAAATCCAATTGATATGCTACTACTAGGTAAAATATTAACGGTGCAAATACAAATTGAGTTTACTACAAACACCCTAAATTATACTTTTCATTCATTTTATTTTATTTAAACATATAAATATTGGTACAAACGGGTATCAGATACATATGAGCCCCACAAATCAAATGAGACTTGTGTGAAGGCTGTGATACTGCTCAGGTGCTCAAACTGAAGCAAGTGATTTTCTTAGGGGGCCACACACCGAGCCTTCGACGTAAAGGTCTGATCCACAAGGTAGTGGATCACCGTGAGGCGATGCATTCCCATGGTAGCCGTTGACCAACAATTGGTTCATACGCCATTCGTTCCATCAGGATACTGGAGCCCATGTGCACCATTGGTTTGGAATCAGGGTTTTCCAACTCCCCTAGGTAGAATTTCCGTGTCAACCAACCGGGCATTCGTTTTTCGTTCTCTCAATTTCGTAGACAACACCCCCGCCACGAGAAGGCAGTGAGTAGGACTTCCCTGGCAGAGGTTATATTACGCATGGCCATGTGAGAGTATTTCGAGAGGGAGAGCGGATTCTCCCCAGTCGCGGCCATACCATGGGACTTACCAAATATGACAATAAACAAAGTATTTAAAGCAATAAGCCACAAAACGTGTTCCAGAAAATTTAGAGATCCATCTAGACCCAATAAATGTTTCCAGTTCATAGCTTCTGGTGCACCGTCTGCATCCGCTGGATCATTATTGGCTCTACCATCTTCGTCAGGAATATCCCCATCCAAATTAGCTCCTGTATTTTCCATATACCAAGCCAATTGTTGTGGATTATATGATGATCCACGATTTACAGTATCTGCCGATTCATGTGAAGATTCTAATGATTCTGAGATACCACTGTTAATCACCGGTTGTTGTTGATTAAGAGAGTAACACGTGTTATGTTCAGGATTCACTAATTCTTGTTGAACAGTCTGATGAGGCTGTTCATCATTGTTTAATAATTCAGGTTCAACAGGATCTTCATTGCCTTCACCGAAAACTGCGGCTCCTAAACCACCACCATTGGCAACACCAAAAATATTGAAAATATCCGGAAATAAAGGTCGCCTACCATTGGCCCCAGCGGCAGGACGAGGAGGATCAGCACCACGAGCTTCTGGAATTCACAAGTAAATTCGAAATTGAAACACGGAAAAAATTTCCATTTAGATTTTTGACAAAATATGTGAACAAATGTTGAATATCTAAGATTTTTCCAAACGAATCTCTACACAGTTTTATAATTTTCATTTTTTTTCAGTGGTTTTTCAGCTTGGATTATCTGATATACGTTTGAAATATAATTCCACATAAAACTTGTTTATTGAAGATTAAAAACTAGCTAATAATAATATGGTTTGTTTGTACTGAATGAAGACTAGGTTAGAGTAAACCAATTCATTGTATTAAGCAAAATCACATACCTCATTCGTAAAATATGAAAACAATACACTGAATACATCATTTGGACATCTTCCTTGAATTGTCTCCATCGTTCTCTCACTTCTGTCGTTACTCGAACTGCTTTTGCTTTTCCTTCTTCTCTTTACTTTCCTCTTCTGACTGTAAGTATTCTACTCCCGATTCCTGACACATATTACTTACATCTATCCGTACAATAGTTCATACCATACAATGGTTTATTTCTATTAATAAGGTTGTTATGTTATGAAGAATTCTTGTATATATGCTTGTATACAACAGAAAATTTTCAAAATTACTGACTAGTTTTAATTATGGGAAATCCAGTCACGCAAACTCCGCCTGTAGCTCTTCTAGAGTTACTGCCGGTCCCAAACCCGGGTAAAGGAGGAAGGTTGGGCATGGGGTTAGCGACCCCATCCCGTAGAAAAGCTAACTCGCTAAAAAAACGCTAACCAAAAAATAATTCAAATCATTTAAACCCTGCCCTGGGAGTTGAAGGAATAATTATGACGTCTCATGATGAAAGCCGAAATTTTCCTGAAGTCTCGAGACCGATGCACCTTCTAACAACCAGAGTAACACTCTTCATAGGTACATGGAACGTCCGGGCAATGAGGGAGACAAGAAAGTGATGTGTGGGCGAGAATGTCAATGATTGGTTGTCTCGATGAGTCAGACATTAGAGGGGATGACAGGTGTTATGTGTTATATATATATTTCCCTATCCTTATTATGTATGGACTTATTGACTGTTCCATGTGTCGGATTTTCGTGTGTAAATATATTGACGTCATAGTCAGGCTAATCTGGTGTTCTTGATCTGAGTTCTGTTGAAGTCCTGTAGAATAGACACTGGGTGGGAATCTAGTGTAGATATTCGTCTAAGATAAATTAACGTCCCACATACGTGTAAGAAGTAAAAGGACTGTTATAACCAGAAACCCCTAAAGTTATAACCAGCATCCTCTCTCTCTCTCATACGTTTATATCAGAAAGACCAGTCAAATAGCAATGGAAATGAGGAGATACAACCTGGAGGTGCTTGGAATCAGCGAAACACATTGGACGCAGGTTGGACAACAACGACTGTCTTCAGGAGAACTTCTGTTATACTCCGATCATGAAGAAGAAAATGCCCCACATACACAAGGAGTTGCATTGATGCTGTCCAGAAAAGCACAAAATGCACTTATTGGATGGGAATCTCATGGACCAAGGATCATCAAAGCCTCCTACAAAACAAAGAGAGAGGGCATTACAATGAACGTCATCCAATGCTATGCGCCGACCAACGACTACGATGAAGACGCTAAAGACCAATTCTACGATAGGCTGCAGTCGATCTTCGAGAAGTGCCCAACCAAGGACCTGACAATTCTGATGGGAGATCTCGATGCTAAGGTTGGAATGGACAACACTGGATACGAAGACGTTATGGGACAACATGGACTGTGAGAAAGGAACGAAAATGGTGAGAGATTTGCAAACCTATGTGCCTTCAATAAACTGGTTATAGGTGGCACCATATTCCCACACAAAAACATACACAAAGCCACTTGGATTTCACCGGATCACACTACACAGAATCAAATCGACCATATCTGCATCAACAAAAAGTTCAGAAGGACGATGGAGGATGTGAGAACCAGAAGAGGAGCTGATATAGCATCCGATCATCATTTACTGGTCTCCAAGATGAAACTAAAACTTAATAAGCACTGGACAACGGCGCAGACATCACAAAAGTTTAATACGGCCTTTCTTCGAGATGCTGACAAACTCAACAAATTCAACATAGCCCTCTGAAACAGATTCCAGGCCTTTCATGATCTACTCAATGGAGAGGGAACTACCATGGAGAGCAACTGGAAAGGTATCAAGGAGGCAATCGTTTCAACATGTCAAGAGGTCCTGGGCCAAAAGAAGCACCATCACAAGGAATGGATCACTGTTGATACACTGGATTAGATTGAAGAAAGGAAGAACAAGAAGGTAGCAATCAATATCAGCCAAACAAGAGCAGAAAAAGCCAAGGCATAAGCCGAATACACAGAGGCAAACAAGCAAGTGAAGAGGAGCATCAGAACCGACAAACGTAAATATGTGGAAGATTTAGCAATGACAGCAGAAAAGGCTGCAAGAGAGAGAAACATGAGACAATTGTATGATACAACAAAGAAACTTGCTGGAAAATACCGTAAACCAGAAAGGCCAGTGAAAAGCAAGGAAGGCAAAGTAATCACCGACATTGAAGAACAACGAAATAGGTAGGTAGAACACTTCAAAGAACTCTTGAATCGACCAGCTCCACTGAACCCACCCAACACATAAGCAGCACCCACAGACCTCCCAATCGATGTTGGCCCACCAACAATTGAAGAGATCAGCATGACCATCAGACAAATCAAGAGTGGTAAAGCAGCGGACCCAGACAACATCACGGCAGAGGCACTGAAGGCAAACGTAGCAGCAACTGCCAAGATACTCCACATCCTCTTCAGTAAGATTTGGGATGAAGAACAAGTACCAATAGACTGGAAAAAAGGACTTCTGATCAAGATACCAAAGAAAAGCGATCTCAGCAAGTGCGACAACTACAGGGGCATCACTCTTCTCTCAATACCAGGAAAAGTCTTCAACGGAATATTGTTAAACAAGATGAAGGATTCCGTGGACGCCCAACTTCGAGATCAACAAGCTGGATTTCGTAAAGATAGATCGTGCACAGATTAAATCGCAACTCTACCTATCATTGTGGAACAATCAATCGAATGGAATTCATCACTCTACATCAACTTCATCGACTACGATAAGGCATTTGATAGCGTAGACAGGACGACACTATGGAGGCATCTTCGACACTACAGCGTGCCTGAGAAGGTAGTCAATATCATACGGAATTCTTATGATGGATTAAACTGCAAAATCGTGCATGGAGGACAACTCGCCGACTCATTTGAGGTAAAGACAGGTGTCAGGCAAGGTTGCTTACTCTCACCTTTTCTCTTTCTCCTGGTGATCGACTGAATTATGAAGACGCCAATATCTGGAGGAAATCACGGGATACAGTGGACAGGCAGGATGCAGCTTGACGATTTAGACTTCACGGATGATCTGGCTCAACAAATGCAGGAGGAAACGACCAGTGTAGCAGCAGCCTCAGCAGCAGTAGGTCTCAATATAAACAAAGAGAAAAGCAAGCTTCTCCGATACAATACAATATGCAGCAATCAAATTACACTTGACGGAAAGGCTTTGGAGGATGTGGAAACCTTTACATATCTGGGCAGCATCATTGATGAACACGGTGGATTAGATGCAGATGTGAGGGCGCGGATCGGCAAAGCAAGAGCAGCATACCTACAACTGAAAAACATCTGGAGCTCAAAACAATTGTCAACCAACACCAAGCTTAGAATTTTCAATACAAATGTCAAGACAGTTCTACTGTATGGGACGGAGACGTGGAGAACTACGAAAGCAATTATCCAGAAGATACAAGTGTTTATCAACAGCTGTCTACGCAAGATACTTCGGATCAGATGGCCAGACGCTATCAGCAACAAGTTACTGTGGGAGAGAACAAACCAGATTCCAGCAGAGGAAGAAATCAGGAAGAAGCACTGGAAATGGATTGGGCACACCTTAAGGAAATCACCTAATTGCGTCACAAGACAAGCCCTCACATGGAATCCTGAAGGTCAAAGGAGAAGAGGAAAACCAAAGAACACATTACGCCGAGAAATAGAAGACAGACACGAGAAGAATGAACAAGAACTGGATAGAACTAGAAAAGAAGGCCCAGGACAGAGTGGGTTGGAGAATGCTGGTCAGCGGCCTATGCTCCATTGGGAGTAACAGGCGTAAATAAGTAAGCAGTAACACAAAAATGCCTGCCATATAGATAATTTATTATCAGTATGGGGTTTATTAATGTACAATTAAGTCAGTCAATGTAGAACTTTGTACGTATGTAAATCGGTTCAAGTTGCTATAATCCATTGGTGAGATGTTGTTTGCACTGATAAGCCTCATATACTGCGACTAAAATACTTTACCTTGGTGAATATTTATCTTTAGTGTGGTAATTCAGTCAGTCATGATTAACTTAAAGCCTAGCACAAATAAGCGTTAGCTCATTTCGCCAGAATACATTCACACAACGAGGTGAATAGTAAAAGAGATTGGAATAATCTGATAGCAATGACAATGAGAAAGACTAAACATTGAAAATATAGTTTTTAAAGACATGATGAAAAGGTACGTATGTAGGAAAATTAAGATTCAAAATAAAGAGGACGATGAAGAGTGAATGTATCTGCATCACTGAAACTGACTCTAAACCGTATAGTCCGTTTGTTTCTACAGATGATAGCTATAATGACGACTTCAATCAGGTAGCTTCAATCTACAAAAATGATTTAGACCAAGAGACAGTGACTTAATGGACTGATGCCGATTCCTGATTTATACACTCCTAATTTTCTTCTAACTTACTCCTACGTCAATTAACAAGTTGCATCAAAGTAGGCGATATTTAGGCATACGATGAAGATTCACAACTATATCAACCGACTTGGAATCTTTGCTTACTAACCTATGCCTAAACTCAGCTTTGGCCATTCATGCGTTCGACACTTTAAACGTAGATGTGAGATGATATCCATATTTATTGTCCTGCATGAGTTTTTCACATTATATAGCTAATTTTAGATTATAGTAATCCTTCAGTTTGTAATGAAGAGTGATTTTCGAAACTGACTATTTTCCTTAACTCTCTCTTTCTCTTCCAATCCACTTTGGATTCATAACGCATAAAGTCGTTTGGTACAAAAATTTTACGTATTTTGAAAATACTGAATTGTTAAAGCACTTCGATGAGTATACACAAGCATCATAATAGTGCTAGATATGTTTCTAGAAAACCTTGGTAGTGTAGCAGTGCAAGATTTCTATATTCTGGTTTAATAAAACAAATCCATCCTTAACCATTTTGAGAAGAATAATACTATATACAAAGATAAATTAAACTGAATTCCCTCTAAAGGTTACAAAATACACAGTGAAAATACCTGCATGAACATCACGTTCTAACCATGCTGGTGTTCCTTGAAGAAGTTGTTCTCGCAATGAAACATAACCCAAAAATGCAGCCAATGCGAGGATTACAATAATGAAACCCTAGATGAATAAATTGAGATATTATACTACTGGAATTTATTGAATATATATATATATATATATATATATATATATATATACTCACTGAAGTCTATTACAAATTTGTTTATTTACTTATAGTAAGAAATGGAGAGGAAACTTAGTAGTAAAAAGGAATATTTCAAAAAATTCACCACGTAAAACAAAAATGAAAATATCTCGAAGGATATAGAAAAGAAGGAATTATGTGATAAATACATCAACGGAAAAAGACAAGTTTGCATTAAACAATACTGTGACATATAATGTTAGTTAAGATTGACTTTATTCAGTTAGAAATTGTGTGGAGACAAAAAGTAAGAAAATGAAAGTGCATGTTCAACTCTTAGACCTGGTCGATAGATGTTTAAAGTTGGTCTAAGTAAAGGGGTTTAGAATCCTAGCTACAAACCAACAGTGTACATAGGCCGTGCGAAAACGAATGGTGTATGAACGCAGTTCATTGACTGATCATCATGGAGATGTATACTCATAATGTCTAACTCTTACGTCAATAAAATAAAATGAGAAGTGATTTCCGTTTGTTTCTCTTTGGATAGTATTACAGCCCTCAATCAGTAAATGATAATCACTAGTATAAAAACGAATACCATTTACACACTTGAAATGCGAAGCCTTGCAAATTACAAAGACTAAAATTATCTTATAATACTTTATATGGCTTTTAGTCTCTTTTCCCTTTCATTTTTACACGACACATGTCTTTTAAATTAATTTCAATATTTAACGAATTCAACAGCTCTATTACGTTGAAAATCCTGATGCCTAAACGGTTTTAAACCAAAAAATGGTTGGTTTATAAAAACTTGTATCACTCTTGATGAGTGGTACAGTTATTCTACGACTTACTGTCTTCTATGTCTGCACCTTCACGAGGACAAGGGATACCTGGTTTTAAATTTCGAAAGTCAAGTAATTAATGTTCTTAATGCTAGTAATGTACGGCAACTTCGTTCCTTGCCTGTAGATTCAATTATGTCAGGATACTTCGATATCAATATCTCTTTCACGATCGATTAAATGCCCGTCTATTTTCATCTTACATTTTCGAACTGAGCTCTACAACTTCTCGTTGAAATTATCATGAGCCTACTAAAAAGTTGACAAACGAGCACTCACATTAGAGTCTACATATGATTCAGAATCATAAATGTCTTTTTTTAACAGTAATAGGATCAGTATCCGCTCACCATTAGGTTTCTAAAAGTTGTCAGATCTTACGGTCTATCTTTATTCCAAGAGTAGACGATGGTTAAGAATAGACAGTTTTCTGAGTACAGAATTAGCAGACGGTCACCGTTATCTGTTCTATGAAACGGGACGCAGGGAGATCCACCTAAATTTCTTACAGTATGACGTGGACAGCCCATTTGAATGTTAAAGTTGTCTGTTAAAAATACTACGATATATGGAAAACTATGAAATCAGAGAAAGATTAGCAACGGGAATAGATGATTAAGGAGCGGAGCAAAGGGTTTACTAGCAAACTAGATGAAAACAAGTACTGTTGAAGAGTGCAAGGAGGTAACACATATTGGCAATTCATATTCTAAAAGGAGATTTAGTCTTGAGATTTCTGCATAAACTTTATTATTGTTAGAAGTGTACTGACTCAAGGAACATTCATTTGAGGTTGATCACACCCTATATATGAGTGATGCTTTATGTGGAATTAATTGCATACTTTTCAACCCTTATGACTGAGATTGGAAATCTGTGAGGCAGAGAGTGGTATATTTTTAGGACCAATTTTCCTCAACGTCACTTACCCACTGTGGGAAGACAGAGTCAGTGACGACTTGGGTTATCTATGGAACATCTTACCGCGAAGTATTTAGCAGTAGAGCGTCGTCACATAACTTTAAATGTGCCAAATTTAGTTTCATGGTTTTTGAAGTGGTTCATTTAACCAATAGAACCTCGAAAAACGAGTTATTCAGCAAATACGGATCGATTGGGCCGTTGCAATAAGCATATTAAGCAACAGTATCCAGGTCGTGGCTATGATGAGACTGACATATACGACCACCAGAAGCATTTTGACCGTGAAACTTTGTATCAAAATCTACACTTGCTGCTTAACTAAACGGTTTTATTTTTCAGCAAAGCTTAGTCAAATTATTTTTTAACGGTCATTGCTAAAAAAATGCTTGAAAAGATTACACAGATCGGATATCAGTTTTAAAGAGTGTGCAACAAATGACGGCGTGCATAAAATATAGAAGATAAATATCTTAATAAACAATCAAATTGAACCTACCTGAACACAATCTTGCAATAAGTGTTTTGTGGAAACCATGTCTAATGGAAGCGTAAGGAGTGAGAAAACGCTACCAGTAAACAAACAACGGTACATGCGACAGGCAGATAAAGGAACTACAACCAACCATGCAGTGAAAACAATCGACAAGTGAATCCAGTTTAGTAAAAATCGACGCAAGCTGTTGGCCAGTCCCACAGCCAACACAGTGAGCGGAAGAAATCGTGGAGTGCCAGATGCGTAAATTCGAGTGAAAGCGAACCGATGATTGCATAATTCACAAGTATTTCTTTTGCTATACTCAAGCCAACGAACGAGGCTAAAAAATTACAATAATTATAAACAAATTAATCAATAATTATCTTTCCATTTTTATTATTAACTAGTATATCAGATACAGATCATTATTCTTGGTTTTGGATCACATAAGTTTGAGGGTTTGTGATACTACCTACCAAATAGGACAACAGGCCTCCTTAGCTAGGACTTTTGAATCTTACACCATCAATGTGTGCTGCTTCCCCGAAACGCGCATACAAGATCCGAGTAGCGTCATTCATTTGACCTCACCATACCTTAATAAAGAACCAACTCGATACAGGCTTCGTGTATCTGGAAGCCCTGATACTGCTTCTCGTGGCCTCGCTGGCGTACGTATAGCATTAAGTCCTAGGGCAGAACTAGCTCTTTTAGACTGGATCCCAGTAGACAGTTGTCTATGCACTGTCCGACTAAACGGATCAGTAAGGACTCGGAAAGATAGGGACACTCGTCGTTGCCTCTTCGTCGTCTCTGCCTACTCTCCGACTGACTGCAGCTCAGATCATGTAAAAGATGAGTTTTACAGAAAACTTTCTGACCTTCTCCGAAAAGCTAGACGTTCTGATGTAGTAATAGTGGCAGGTGACTTTAATGCTCAAGTAGGTAAACTAACTGAAAGGGAAAGACACATGGGTGGATCTTATGGTGTTGTGGCTAAAAGAACAGATAATGGCGACCGTCTGTTGCAGCTATGCTCAGATAACCGCCTGTTTCTTGCAAATACTAACTTTAAGCATAAGGAAAAACATCTTTTGACATGGAGACCTCCGAATTCTTCCCAACGCTGGACCCAACTAGATCACATCGCTATCCGCCACCAGTGGAGGGGCTCGATAGAAGACTCGCTCATTCTGGAGCACATGTTTAGACTCAGATCATGCTCTAGTGTGAGCACGTATCTGTCTGCGTCTTACTGGGCGTAGGAAAGACACTGCAGGGAAGCCTCTAAGGGCTCTACTTAATGATAGGCAAGCTAAGAATATATTTCAGGAACAACCGGAAAAACAGTTAGGCAGACATGTAAGTTGTGCCCACCCCGAGACACATCCGAAAAGTTGTGGAAACAGCAGTGATATGTTAGTACGGTAAACCATAAGGTTAGGGAGAAACAATGGATCTCAGCAGCATCTACCGCATTGATAGATGCTCGAAAACTCATCCCATCTGGCTCTGAACATAACGAAGAGCGGAGTCAGCTTAAGCGCAGGCTAACAAGAAGCCTACGCAATGATCGTGAACAGTGATGGGTAACGAAAGCAAGAGAGATGGAAAAGGCAGCGGCAATAGGTAACAGTACACAGCTATTCAGACTTATTAAAGAAACCGGTATTAGGAACCCAACTATCAGCGAAACTATCTCGGATAAAGATGAACATATCATTCATTCTCAATCCAGGAGATTGGATCGATGGGCAGAACACTTCAGAGATCAGTTCAACTGGCCTTCAGCCACACTTCAGTTACCCACGATCCCCAGTCGTCCTGAATGGAAAATTGATGCAAGTCCTACAACTCTCTACGAGGTTGAAAAAGCTATAGGAAATCTGAGGTGAGGGAGAGCAACGGGCTCTGACAGGTTTACTCCTGAGATTTTTAAGGATGGTGGTTCAGTACTAGCAGTGAAATTGACTGAGGTCTTAGGTAAAATCTGGGAACTGGACGTAATTCCATCTGACTGGTCCCAATCACTGATTGTGCCAGTCTATAAGAAAGGACAAAAGTCCTCTTGTGACAATCACAGAGGGATCAGCTTGACTAACATAGTGTCTAAAATATTAGCTTCAATAATACTACGACGCCTAACCAGAGCTCGTGAAGAGCAGAGTAGAGAAAACCAGGCTGGTTTTCGACCTGGACGTTGTTGCATAGACCAGATATTCACTCTACGTCAGGTCCTAGAACATAGACATACATTCAGACGTCCCACAATCGTAGTATTATTTCTCGACCTTAAGGCGGCATTTGACTCCGTTGATCGTGAGGTTCTATGGCAGTGTTTGTCACTGAAAGGAGTACCGAAGAAGTACATTAACCTCATAAAGGCTCTCTACTCGAACACAACTGGTCGAGTTAGAGCCTATGGCGAACTGTCATCGGAATTGATTACCTCAAGTGGTGTTCGTCAGAGCTGTCCACTTTCCCCATTCTTGTTTAACTTTGTCGTTGATATGCTTTTGGAGATAACACACCGAGCGTTGCTGCTACCTTGACGTGGTGGTTGGGCTTGCCTATCGTGATGAATCAACCGAGCTATACTGGCTGGAACAATCGCTCCTCAAGGTCCTACCATGCCAGGCAGGTCGTTTGAAGAGCGGTAAAACTAAAAGCAGCAAATCCAAGTTCCGAAGGCGAAGTCGAACTACCGACTGTACAGAGGTGTGACAGCAGTAAGGTGTTCCCTTCAGACAACCAGCATGACAGCGATGCTGCCTTCCCACAAGGAAGGGTGGGATTAGAAAAGGTCGACCCTAAAAATGCACACCTCGCCTTATCCCACGGATTTCCGTCTCCGGCGGTAAGGTCCTTTGAAGAGCGGAGCTAGCACAAAAACTACCCACAAAAAGGTTGTGTGTGACCGACCTTGGGCACTGCGGTCACGCTCTCAGGTCATTAAGACCACTTCTAACCCAATTTCCTTTTCAGGTACCCATAGAAGAACCCTTCCACGGTGTGAGCAACCGGGAAGTGATAACTGCTCTCATACCTCTAACAGCACTCAAGACCACTGTATTCATAATCAATCTCCTTCTTCAATTCCTACTATTCCTTCTACCTTGACTTTCAACACTAAACTTCCTCTTTCGGTTTCCTCCTCAAGTGTCATCATGGCCAACGATTCTAGTGCGCGAAACGCTGTCCCAGGTCTACTAAAACCTCGCTCCAAACTACACATTGGAGCCTTCAACGTACGTACCCTAAGTCAAATCGGTCAACAGGCCTCCTTAGCTAAAACCCTAGAATCTCGTCCCATTGATGTATGCTGTGTCTCCGAAACACGGATACAGGATTCCAGTGTGGTCATTCACTTGACCTCACCTCGCCAAAATGGACAGCCAACGAAATACACCCTCCGTGTATCTGGCGACCCGTTGGCTAGTTCTCGTGGACTAGCAGGTGTAGGCATAGCACTAAGTACAAGTGCAGAACAGGCACTACTAGAATGGATCCCCGTTGACAGTCGCCTGTGTGCTGTCCGGCTAAATGGCTCCGTAAGAACTCGGAAGGATGGGGGGACACGTCGTTGCCTTTTCGTCGTTTCTGCCTACGCTCCCACTGACTGCAGCCATGATGAAGTGAAAGATGACTTTTACAGAAAGCTCTTTGAGCTTCTTCAGAAAGCTAAGCGCTCACACATAGTAGTCGTAGCGGGTGACTTTAATGCCCAATTAAGCAGCTTCAATCAAACAGGAAGACATTTAGGTGGGTATTTTAGTATTCCGGCTCAGCGAACAGATAATGGTGATCGTCTGTTGCAACTGTGCTCAGAAAATCGTTTATTTCTAGCAAGCACTAATTTTAAGCATAAGGAGAGACATCGTCTAACATGGCGACCACCTTCACCAAACCAACTATGGACTCAAATAGACCATATTGCCATCAGTCATCGTTGTAGAGACTCAATAGAAGATTGTCGCTCGTATTGGAATACTTGTTTAGACTCTGATCACGCTTTAATACGAGCGCGCATTTGTCTGCGCCTCAATGGACGCAGGAAAAGTACACTAAGAAGACCCATTAGGATTGAACTGGAGGACGAGAAAGCCAAATGCGAATTCCAGAAACAACTGAGTTCACATCTAGGCAGTTCTGTAAACGAGACTGACCCAGATGCTGCTTGGAAAGACATACGAACAGCTGTGGAAACAGCAGTCACATCTATTAGTAATTTAAACGATAGGACTCCCAAAAACCAGTGGATTTCCTCTAAACCTTTTTCACTGATGGATTCGCGTAAACTCATCCCATCAGACTCTGAACACGACAAAGAGCGTAAACAAATTAGATCTAGGTTAACTAAAAGTCTAAGGAACGATCGTGAGCAGTGGTGGGCAACGAAAGCAAAAGAAATGGAAAAGGCAGCGGCTGTAGGCAACTCCAGGCAACTCTTCAAACTAATAAAAGGAACCGGAATTAATAAGCCAAGTGTAAGTGAGACGATCTCGGAAAAAGATGGAACCCTTATCTGCTCTCAACCCAAACGTTTAGAACGATGGGCGGAACACTTTAGAGAACAGTTTAGCTGGCCTTCAGCTAATCTACAATTACCCACCATTCCCGAACAGTCTGAATTGAACATTGAAGTAGGTCCCCCGACTCTAGCTGAAGTTCAAAAGGCTATAGCTAATCTGAAACAGGGAAGAGCAGCTAGTCCAGATGGATTGGCTCCAGAGGTCTTTAAGTATGGTGGTTCAATTTTAGTGATTAGGTTTACTAATATGTTAGCTAAAATCTGACAACTGAGTGTAATTCCATTCTGCTGGTCACAATCTCTGATTGTCCCAATATATAAAAAGGGGTCAAAATCATCCTGCAATAACAACAGAGGGATTAGTTTGACTAACATAGCATCTAAAATACTAGCCTCAATAATTATCGGGCGCCTAACTAAGACTCGTGAACTGCAAACACGAGAAAATCAGGCTGGCTTCAGACCTGGTCGTGGCTGTATCGACCACATATTCACTATTCGTCAGGTTTTAGAGCACAGACACGCTTATCGGCGTCCGACAATGATAGTTTTTCTTGACATGAAAGCAGTATTTCACTCTGTATACCAAGAGGTTCTGTGGCAGTGTCTGTCATTGAAAGGTGTACTTCAGAAGTACATAAACCTTATGAAGGCTCTTTACTCGAACACTACCAGTCCAGTGAGAGCTTATGGCGAACTGTCATATGATTTTACAACCTCAAGTGGTGTCCGTCAAGGCTGTCCACTATCCCCATTTTTGTTTAACTTCATTATAGACCTGTTGCTGGAAATAACACTGTCTTCGACTGAATTTTCAGGACCACCGAGTAAGTAATGCAGTTGTTAGGAAACGGGTACTAGGTAAGGATGGCAAATCGCTTGATGTGGTGAAACTTCATCAGTTGAGATGGCTGGGACACGTGTTACGTATGCCCAACCACTGACTCGACGTGCAATTGAAGACGCTGACAAAAAGCTGTCTTCTGTTAGAACTGAGCAATAATGCCAGGATATTTGGAATGCGTTTTTCTCCCTCTAAATGTAAATTGTCACTCCAGGACTGACCTGCGTCAACACCTGATCTAAGGATAGGGAGTGAAGTAGTCGAACGCGTCGACAACTTCACTTATCTTGGAAGTCTCATCAGCCCTAATGGGTTGGTGTCTGACGAAATCTCAGCACGGATTCGAAAAGCTCGTTTGGCTTTTGCCAACTTACGTCACCTATGGTGAACATCAGATATTTGTCCATCAATTAAGGGACTAGTATACTGTGCAGCAGTTCGCTTTGTTCTACTTAACGGCTGTGAAACGTGGCCATTAAGAGTAGAAGATACTCGTAAGTTACTTAATGCAATCCAAGTGTGACTGATCGTCAGTACTCTACAACATATCTTCAAAACTCTTGACCGAACTAACTGCCAAAATAGTAATCCTGGGCTACCACCACGAAGGATATATGTTTTGTGGAAAAGTACAGCTCTTCATATACAGATTCCCTTTACAGTGATGATTAATACATTTTTAAAAATAAATTAAAACTATTTTCATGCTGAGTAAATATCAAAACTCAGAATACGATAGAATAATATGTAGATATAGTTAATGACTGGGCTTGTTAAAATATAATCGAAAGTGAAACTGGAAGGCTATGATATTAAAGTAGTCAATAATCTGGATTACTACTTGTCACGTATATGTCGTTGCACCAACGACACTGCTTGACGTTCCAGACAGAAAGAGGTGAAACACGTTGGAACAAGTGATTTAATGGTTGTAAGTTTTGTCCAGATACCTAAACTACCAATTTTATTATTAAGTTAATGTCACGATCAATCATTGCTAAGTTAGAAAGGTCTGATTTTGTGGATGAATAAAAGAGCATTACTAATAGGAGAATGTCCACAAACCTACCAATCTTGATGAATATATTTAATACTTCCAGTGCATAAACAAGGATGAAATAGAGGTTTCGATACAGTCCCCTCACATCGGCAAACTCGACAAAAGTCTGGAGTTAGTAGGAAAAAAACTTATTTTAGATTTTGTAGAAAATCGCGAGAAACAGAAAAACACAAAAAATACAAAACTCGGCATTTAGTTAGCAATTTTTATGACGAAATTAAATTAACATACTGTGAAGATATGAAAGATAACTGATTTACTGATACGTTTCTACTGTATTTAAAAGCCTATGTAGAACATATTTCTGGCTAGCAGGTAACGAAAAACTAGAATATGTGTGACCAAAATCAAATATTAGTTGTAATATATTTAAATTTTCATTAAAGTGAATTTTGTGTGCCTACCCAAGCATTTACCATTCATATTAAAGGAATGCAAAATAACCTTACGACTGTTTACTTGCTGGGTCTATTCAGTCTTATTAAGGATGATTTTTGTTACAGGTAAATATCAAATAAAGGACCACCAAAAATCAAAAAGAAACTAAACAGTTATTTAATCTGATGAATAGGTCAAACAAATAAACTACTGTTGCGGCGACCACGTTACTTTTAAGTCATTGAGCTGGAGTCTAATCAACTAAATCTTCAACCTCAGTCAATTCATGACATAGACGAACAACCGTTCGATATCTTTGCTACTTTAGCACTGTTGATACACTGTTTTACATCAACTCATTAAGTGTATGAGGATATAACATCATTTGACGAGTGCTCAAATGTGGAGAAGAGTATCATCAATGGTAACTGTAAGTCCGGATGTTAAGAAAAAACCAGAACTTTGTATTAGTCAAAACACCTTACAACAAAAAGAAGCGGAAGTCGGCGACCAGTGACATTGAACAACTAAACACATAGAAGATAAGCAGTGCGAAACAGGATGGTCAAGAAACGGAGACAAGCAAACTGAATAAAAATTAAAAACACGAAGTTCAGCGAAGGGATCTCTTTTCAACGAATTTATTATCAACCTGTACAATCGTATATAAACGAAAATTTTTTGTTAAAGTACTAATTCCGTGAGGAAAATTTGAACACTATAAACCAAGACGACGTAATAGAAAGTTTATAATACTAGATTGCGTAACACAAATAATAACAATAGATTTAGTGAATACAATAAGATGATTAAAATGCTTTTTAGTTACAATGATTAAAGGTCCTTAAAGGTCATAGAGGTGTAAAAATAAGTAAGGTGATATGATGGGCATTTAATAATGAGACAAGTAAAAAGGAACGCAGTAATAATAGTATTAATTAAGACCAAGGTAACGATAACGACAGGACGTACTTCTTTTGTATGTATAGTTCTGGTTTGAGTTAATGGATGGTAAGAGCTTTGGCTATTTTTAGGAGTTGGATACGAAGAAATTTAAGTAGATTTGAACGAATCATATAAACAACCTTACGGAATTAGTACTTTAACAAAAACTTTTCGTTTATATACGATCGTAAAGCTTGATAATAAATTCGTTGAAAAGAGATCCCTTCGCTAAACTTCGTGTTTTTAATTTTTAATGTTTAAATGGGAATTATCTGTCAAGTAAACTGAATAAGTTTGGGTCATGTCATGTAGGATTGTCGAATACTGAATTTTAGCATTTCAAGAGCCCCCAAATGACCTGGTACGGCAGAGAGTGAGAAGGGCCCGCCCTCTCTCGAAATGCTCTCACACAACCACGCGTATACAGCCTCTAACAGGGAGATCCTACTCACCACTTTCTCGTGGCGAGGGTATTTATTTACTTAAACACATAAATATTGGTACTAGGGTGCACCAGATACATATGCGCCACACAAAACAATCAGAATGGGAACAGAAAAAGCGTAAGATGGATATAAAAATAATAAGAGTAATGATGGGGGGAACTGAAATGTACAACCAGACGAACTTTCAGTTAAGAAAGTTAGAACCACTCTTTATGAAGAAAGTAAAAAGAGGTTACAGCACGATCGCCACTGGCTTCTATTCTGAGCCATATCTGATAACGTCTCTAGCCACTGTGTTGCACCATTTCTCGGACCCCAGCCAGGGAGTCGTGAAGGACCAACAGAAGCTAGCCCTTTGCAGCTTTCTTTCATACCACGACACCATGTCATACACTGACCACCTCTCTGTTTTTCCAACCAGTCCCAGAGTCGACAAATAATGCATAACCTGTAACTCTCTGGAAAGACATTCGTAGAACATGTCCAAGCCACCGAAGTCGATGTTTCAAGATGGTGACACCATCGTCTCTGCGCCCGAACACACGATGCCGAACCTCTGCATTACTAACATGGTGTTGCTACTGGATGTCAGCAATCCTTCCCAGACAATGTGATCGAACACAGAGAGTCGTCTAACATCCTCAACTCGGATAGGCCAGGCTTCACAAACATAGAGCGAAACTGCTCTCTTGTCCTCTACTCTTATCGGCCATGTTTCGCTGCCATAAAGTAGGACGGACCGAACTGCTTCACAGTAAACCCGTCCTTTGGTTGCTAGACGGACATCTCGCCTACGCCATAAAAGTTGGCGAAAGCTAGACGAGCCTTCTGTATCCGTGCTGAGATTTCGTCACACACCAGACCACAAGGGCTGATGAGACTCTCAAGATAAGTGAAGCAATCAACACGCTCAACTACTTCACTCCCTATCATTAGTTCAGGTGTCGATGCAACCCAATCGTGGAGTAACATTTTGCATTTTGAGTGATAGAATCGCATCCCGAACATGCCTGCATAGTTGCTTATAGTGGTCAGAAGACTGCATGATGCCAGCGTCTTCACCAAATAAAACTATGTCATCGGTGTATTCTAAGTAAACAAGTGAGCCTCCCGGTAAAAGTTCAACTCCTGGAGATTGAGATGATGAAAGTGTTATCTCCAAAAGTATGTCGATGACAAAGTTAAACAAGAATGGGGAGAGTGGACAGCTCTGACGAACACCACTTGAGGTAATCAATTCCGATGACAGTTCGCCATAGGCTCTAACTCGACCAGTTGTGTTCGAGTAGAGAGCCTTTATGAGGTTAATGTACTTCTTCGGTACTCCTTTCAGTGACAAACACTGCCATAGAACCTCACGATCAACGGAGTCAAATGCCGCCTTAAGGTCGAGAAATAATACTACGATTGTGGGACGTCTGAATGTATGTCTATGTTCTAGGACCTGACGTAGAGTGAATATCTGGTCTATGCAACAACGTCCAGGTCGAAAACCAGCCTGGTTTTCTCTACTCTGCTCTTCACGAGCTCTGGTTAGGCGTCGTAGTATTATTGAAGCTAATATTTTAGACACTATGTTAGTCAAGCTGATCCCTCTGTGATTGTCACAAGAGGACTTTTGTCCTTTCTTATAGACTGGCACAATCAGTGATTGGGACCAGTCAGATGGAATTACGTCCAGTTCCCAGATTTTACCTAAGACCTCAGTCAATTTCACTGCTAGTACTGAACCACCATCCTTAAAAATCTCAGGAGTAAACCTGTCAGAGCCCGTTGCTCTCCCTCACCTCAGATTTCCTATAGCTTTTTCAACCTCGTAGAGAGTTGTAGGACTTGCATCAATTTTCCATTCAGGACGACTGGGGATCGTGGGTAACTGAAGTGTGGCTGAAGGCCAGTTGAACTGATCTCTGAAGTGTTCTGCCCATCGATCCAATCTCCTGGATTGAGAATGAATGATATGTTCATCTTTATCCGAGATAGTTTCGCTGATAGTTGGGTTCCTAATACCGGTTTCTTTAATAAGTCTGAATAGCTGTGTACTGTTACCTATTGCCGCTGCCTTTTCCATCTCTCTTGCTTTCGTTACCCATCACTGTTCACGATCATTGCGTAGGCTTCTTGTTAGCCTGCGCTTAAGCTGACTCCGCTCTTCGTTATGTTCAGAGCCAGATGGGATGAGTTTTCGAGCATCTATCAGTGCGGTAGATGCTGCTGAGATCCATTGTTTCTCCCTAACCTTATGGTTTACCGTACTAACATATCACTGCTGTTTCCACAACTTTTCGGATGTGTCTCGGGGTGGGCACAACTTACATGTCTGCCTAACTGTTTTTCCGGTTGTTCCTGAAATATATTCTTAGCTTGCCTATCATTAAGTAGAGCCCTTAGAGGCTTCCCTGCAGTGTCTTTCCTACGCCCAGTAAGACGCAGACAGATACGTGCTCACACTAGAGCATGATCTGAGTCTAAACATGTGCTCCAGAATGAGCGAGTCTTCTATCGAGCCCCTCCACTGGTGGCGGATAGCGATGTGATCTAGTTGGGTCCAGCGTTGGGAAGAATTCGGAGGTCTCCATGTCAAAAGATGTTTTTCCTTATGCTTAAAGTTAGTATTTGCAAGAAACAGGCGGTTATCTGAGCATAGCTGCAACAGACGGTCGCCATTATCTGTTCTTTTAGCCACAACACCATAAGATCCACCCATGTGTCTTTCCCTTTCAGTTAGTTTACCTACTTGAGCATTAAAGTCACCTGCCACTATTACTACATCAGAACGTCTAGCTTTTCGGAGAAGGTCAGAAAGTTTTCTGTAAAACTCATCTTTTACATGATCTGAGCTGCAGTCAGTCGGAGAGTAGGCAGAGACGACGAAGAGGCAACGACGAGTGTCCCTATCTTTCCGAGTCCTTACTGATCCGTTTAGTCGGACAGTGCATAGACAACTGTCTACTGGGATCCAGTCTAAAAGAGCTAGTTCTGCCCTAGGACTTAATGCTATACGTACGCCAGCGAGGCCACGAGAAGCAGTATCAGGGCTTCCAGATACACGAAGCCTGTATCGAGTTGGTTCTTTATTAAGGTATGGTGAGGTCAAATGAATGACGTTACTCGGATCTTGTATGCGCGTTTCGGGGAAGCAGCACACATTGATGGTGTAAGATTCAAAAGTCCTAGCTAAGGAGGCCTGTTGTCCTATATGGCGCAATGTTCGGACGTTAAAAGTTCCTACATGCAGTTTAGAGCGTGGTTTCAGGAGACCAGGAATAACGTTCAGTGTACTTCAATCGTTTGCTCTAGCATTGCGTGTTGATAAAAGGACGTGGGAAGGGTTAGT